CTCCCTCCAATCTTTTTTCCTAATAATTATACATTAATGTAGTTATATAATGTGAATGTGTCCTGTGTCAATAAATATTCTCCTATGGATGTTCTGTTCTTGATTTGTGATTCTCCAACTTGGTGTCTTCTTTCAGGGCCTGTGGAAGTCAAAGTTCAGCCCTGAGAATACAAGGGAGGAGCTGTTCTACAAGGCTGATGGAGAGACGTGCTCGGCGTCTATGATGTACCAGGAAAGCAAGTTCCGCTACAGGCGTGTGGCTGAAGGCACCCAGGTGCTTGAGTTGCCCTTCAAAGGCGATGACATCACCATGGTGCTTGTCCTGCCCAAGCCTGAGAAGAGCCTGGCCAAGGTGGAGCAGGAGCTCACCCCAGAGGTGCTGCAGGAGTGGCTGGATGAGTTGGAGGAGGTGATGCTGGTGGTGCACATGCCCCGCTTCCGCATCGAGGATGGCTTCAGTTTGAAGGAGCAGCTGCAAGACATGGGCCTCGTCGATCTGTTCAGCCCTGAAAAGTCCAAACTCCCAGGTTAGTATAGGAAGGAGTTTCCTCCTCTCTCTACCTCCAAGGTGGTATGACCAAAATTGGAAGAGTTGGAGAAAAAAACAGAAAAGAGCAACAAGTCAGGACACCTGGATTCTAACCCGGGTTCTACTGGAAATCCTTTTCCCTTTTGAGGCCTCAGTTTTCTCTTCTGTAAAAGAGGGAGTTTGCTCTTGGATCTCTGTGGGCCCAGCTGGCACTGGTACCCTGTGAGTCTGCATCTGGCAGAGGAGACGTGACCAGGTGGAGGAGAATTTGAAAAGCCATTGGAATAGAGAGCAAAGAGACATACTAAGAGCTGGGACATCTGGGCCCTACAGAGCAGGCCTGACTGACATTTTTTTTTTTTTTTTTTTTTTTTGAGACAGAGTCTCGCTTTGTTGCCCAGGCTAGAGTGAGTGCCATGGCGTCAGCCTAGCTCACAGCAACCTCAAACTCCTGGCTCAAGCAATCCTCCTGCCTCAGCCTCCCGAGTAGCTGGGACTACAGGCATGTGCCACCATGCCCAGCCAATTTTTTCTATATATTTTTATTTGTCCAGCTAATTTCTTTCTATTTTTAGTAGAGACGGGGTCTCGCTCTTGCTCAGGCTGGTTTCGAACTCCTGACCTCGAGGCTGGTTTCGAACTCCTGACCTTGAGCAATCCGCCTGCCTCGGCCTCCCAGAGAGCTAGGATTACAGGCGTGAGCCACCGCGCCCGGCCTCCTGACTGACATTTAATAAATGGCCTTTTGTCTGACATTCCAAAGGGCTCGTGCACTTTCCTCAAGATCACTTGGACAGATACAGCCAACCTTTTCCCAGTTGTGGTACTTCAGTTGGCATTAAAAATAGGCAATAAAATATCTTTTTTAAAAAGATGTTTATGATGTTAGGGAATTGGATTTATCTTTACTGGGCTGTTTTTAAACTCGTTCTGAAAACTAAAACTGTTGCTGCACCAGAAAGAAAGATGTTCCTACTAGATGGAGTGAGTTTTTCTTCAAGACAGTCCTGTCCTCCCCACAGCCTCAAAGAGCTGAAGCCTGACACTAAATTCACCAGTGCCAGGCTGAACAAGTCCAAAGCACTTTATTATTTGTAACACATATTCATTGTAGGGGGGTATCATTAGGTGAAGGTCCACGAGTTCTTCAATTTTTCAAAGAAGGACCTCTTCATTCAAACTGAATTCCTGTCTGTGGGTTGAAGCAAACTTTCTCCCATTTCACAGAGCCTTCTTTGCTTTTCCTTCCAGGTGTTGTTGCAGAAGGCCGGACCGACCTCTATGTCTCAGATGCATTCCATAAAGCGTTTCTTGAGGCGAGTACACTCCCTTCCCTCGCTCTTCCTATGCTGCTTTTCTTATTATTCAATACAGCAGTATCTCGTGAGATTTGTAACTTTGGAGTTCTTGCTCCACTCGCTCTTACGGTATAGAAGGCGGATGCATGACCAGCAGGACACAACTGCGGGCAAGGCATGTTTCTGGTGCCCCTCACATCCCAGACCGGTGGTCCTCTCCTCCGTGAGGACGGGACAGCCCTCCCCCGAAACACTCATGGTCCAGTTGTTCTACCCTGCCCCCTACTGCCTCTCTTGCGGCTGGTCAAGTGGGAACACTGACATTTGGAGGAGGGTGACATAGGAAAAGGAGCCAGCAAAGGCCACTAAGAAGGAATTCAGAAGAAGAGGAGAACCAGGAGAGCATGAGGTCATGGAAATCCAGGGAGGAGTTTTAACCACTTCGGTGCGGCGCCCACTAGCCGCGAACCTCGCCCACAGCCGCACTCACAGTCCGCACGGTAGTCTGTGCTGTGCATTGACCACGGATCCATTTTGCTCTTGTGTGATGAGGAAAGCTTGAAAGCACTGAGAGCTTGTTTTACTTTACAGGCTGCTTTACTTGTAATGTAAATCAGAATAGGTAACATATACATGTATGTTTTCATTACGTTATTTTTAAATGTTCACAATTTTATTTTGATAAGTGAAAAATTAGAAAAGTCATATCACGGCGGCAGTCAGCTAAAGTCGCTGTGCGCGTTCATCTGTGGCTATCAACCAGGGGTCCTCAAACTACAGCCCGAGGGCCACATGCGGCTTGCTGAGGACATTTATCCGGCCCCCTGGGTGTTTTTGCCACGGCTGTTGAGGGAAGGGAGATAGGTCAATATCAGAGAAGTCCGTAGGACTGAGGAAATTGCAAAGAAGACTGTAGTCAAAGGTTTCAGAACACGGTGCTGGTAAATATGGTTCCAGGGCCCAAGCTCAGTGGGAAATGTTTGGTTTGGAGGAAAGTGGGGTCAAGTGACATTAGGAAGTTAATTTCAATGGGAGTGAGGAAATGTGATAGCTTGAAGGAACAGAAGAGTAGAGTCTGAGAAAATGATGCTGTAATTATAATTTTAAAGGTAGAGTAGTTCTGAGAGTGTAGCCATGGGACTGGTTTGCTTAAATAGACTGAAGGTAATGCTTATTGGTTTGGATGAGAAGAAAAAAATGGGAGGGTAGGGTGTTGAATGGGTCTCCTACCAAGATATTTTAATTGTCTAGGTCAAATGGTAGCAGGACTTGGGGTGGACAGGAAAGCTAGGTGCTCAAAAATCCGCAGTGGATATAGAATCTATAGGACAATCAAGGCAATGACCTGTAGGACAATAGCAAAAGTAGAGGGATGTATCTCATAACAAGGGATTTTACATGAGTACTGGATTAATGGTTTGGAAGTTTAAAAAGGACACTGCTTTTACCTTCTTCCATATGTTTTTTTTTTTTTTTCTTTTTTGAAAGAAAGAACAGGAAGACTGCAAGGGAAGTTGAGTCCTTAGGGTTTTAACTCTCACTGTAAATACTCTTGTGAGTAGCCCAATTAGAATTGGTCAACTCAGATGTCCTTGAAGGCTTTGAGTTAGTATTAGGAAGAAGCAGAGGTCTAGATTCATTTTACCCACCTGAGCTAAACAATGATGCAAGATCCCTCCAGGGCCACTGGAATAAAGTTGTTTTCCTTAAAAACTTTAGGAACTTATAATAAACAGGTCCCCAACTGATTGTTGATCTCCTGAGAAGCCATTAAAAACCAGAACCTGATTTGAATCATGAAAAAGCTCTAGTCTGCTCATAAATTTGGTCCTAAAATGAGCATGAAATAGATAATATGGAAAGATATCGAGTAAGGAAGGAGGAAGGAAGGAAGGTAAAGGAAAAGTGAGAGGGAGGGAGGACATGAGGGAGGAAGAAAACATCATTAATCAACTCCACAAAGCTCAGGGATCTGAACTGCTTTCATTAAGAGGCAGAAATAGAGTTTTAATGATATTCTGGATGCCTAGGCAAAATTTCTTGAGAGTGTCTCCCTGTAGACCTGTGACAATTCTGTTTATCAGCCAAGTTCAAATATTGTTGCTTCAGTCTATTACTCCAAGAAAACTCATCTCATCCAGCCAGAGGACCCCTTCTCTTTTCATAGGCCCTAGGTCCTTAGTGGCTGTTTGCAGTAGTTATATCTGCCACCCTTATGCTCCAAGAGTAAAATTATTTCAATTATAGAGTTCTGATCTTGAGTCAAAATGTCTTTTAGCAGCTTGTACCAAAAAGAAAAAACAAAACAAACAAAAAACTTCCGTAACAGCATGTACAATGGTGCCAGCCAGAAATGTGACAATCTGTGCACATTCAGATTTCTGGTTCATGCATTACACGAGTGGAACTCTTGCACTTGTTACCTAAGACCTGGACTGATGCAAGTGCCTTACGTTCACTGGATGAAAGAATGAGTAAGGTAGGGTTCGAGAGAGAACCCAACCTCACTCCCCTATACTTTTTATTGGAAAGCTGGCTTTTGGGAAATTGCTGTGTTTGTGGATGATCTACCTGCCAATAAATGAACTGCAGAGTGGCTAATGTAGCAGTTTTGCTTCCTATGTGATCTGCAGGTAAATGAGGAAGGCAGTGAAGCAGCAGCGAGTAGTGTCGTCTTGATTGCTGGCCGCTCCCTGAACCCCAACAGAGTGACCTTCAAGGCCAATAGGCCCTTCCTGGTTTTTATAAGGGAAGTTCCCCTGAACACTATTATCTTCATGGGCAGAGTCGCCAACCCTTGTGTTAACTAAAGTGTTCTTACTCTCTGCACTTCTTCCTACTTTGGTTTGTGAATAGAAGTAAAAATAAATGCAACTACTCCCATCTCACAATTATTAATGGACTGTGACACCTGAAATGAAGACAAGGAAAAAGGAAAAAGGATAGAGACTCTATTGGGGCATTTGAGAAAGTGATGCTTTCAATTGTTCACCACCCAGGGACCATATCTGGGTCAAGAAAATGACAGAGGGAGACACATCACTACTTCGTCTTGAAGGATGGCACACATCCAGAAAGGGCAGGGGGAGCTGGAATTCTCAGTATTCCACATTAAAAAAATCCAAAAATTTAAACAAATTAATCTCTATATACAGAAAAGACAGAGTCAAATCTGAGTATTAAACCATTTAATTCTCAAACCACTCACATGCATAATGTTCTTTTACACAGTGTTAAAGAGGAAAATGCATTTTTATACAAACAGAATTTCAAGTATACATTAATAGACTTTTCAGATTGCTAACCAAGTTGCTAAGATTTCATTCACATTGTTCTTAAAGCTGTTCAACGAGAAAGCTTTTGCTAAACTGCTTTAAATATGTTTATATAAACCCATATTTTCACTCTTTCTTTGAATCTCCCTTCCCCAACCCCAGTCTCTGCCCACCCTCCTGCCCTCCCCCCTCCTCCAACACGACAGGGCTCCTGGGGCTCTAGGAGACATGCAACCCCACCAAGAACTATTGGCTTGTCATCAGGGGAAGGTCAGAATCCATAGGGGGAGAGACTGAGAACACCTGTTAAATTAAGGGAGAACAAATCTGATACTTAGAAATGACACAAATCAGGACTTTAATCTTAGAGCCTTTGTGTTTTCATTTGACTTTTATTCAGAAAATTTAGCCTCCCACAAAACAACACAGAAGTTTCTGATAATTTGGTAGCTGAGAAAATAACTTAATATTAGGTATTTTTTTCCTCGGTGAAACTTCCAAAATCGGGATAGGCATTTTGAACTCTTTTTCAATTGGGTGGTTGTTTCTTTTTCCCTTTGGCAAGGAGTGGGGGCAGCTTAAAAATAGATGTCATTATATTTGTGTTTACATTAAGGAATTTGGTTAATTTCATAGGGTCTGGCAAGAGTTCTCCCTCCTTGACTCTCCTCCTGAAGTAATCTGGCTTCAGGGCCAGGAACAGTCACTCTCCTTAGGAATTAAAGTGCATTTTTTCAGTAAAAGGGGATAAGGGGAGGTTATGGTTTACATTTAAGTGATAATGATTAAAGGAGGGTGGGGTGAGAGAAAATCCTATTCCTATATATAGATATTTATAATTAAGGTCATAATAAAAACTGATATTCTTAGGAAATAAGATGCACAAAGCCAGTCCAGCACCCTCAGTGGCGCAGGAGCGCCATCCTGACTGACTGACTGTTCTTGGGCATCTCTATTATTAATGGAGTAATTGCTTCAGATGAAAGACATAAATCTCAAATGTTAGTTTTTTCAAAGGGAAAAAACAGCCCGGTAGGTTCTTAAAATTAAAAATATTCTACTCCATTTCCCTTTCAGGGATAAGAACATTTTAGAAATTGATTGTCTGTTTTATTATAAATCCTCCTCAATTAGCAAGTGTAAAAAAAATGCTGTAGATCTAAGTTTGCGGCTTACAAATATTATGGTAGCCTTTAAAAACTCAGGAAGAGGCCGGCGTAGGTGATCCTTGCTATCAATCAATATCAACTGAGGGGAAGTGAAATTTTCCTATGATCTCTTTATTGATAGCTACCAGAATCTAATTTTCTGACTAGTTTCCTTTAAATGCTTTACTATTTCTTGGGGGAAAAAAACCCCAGAGTTTCCAAAGAGAAGTAAATGCTACATTATTAGTTATGCAAAGAACTGATGGGCTCAAGATGAGAAGGGGTGGGGGAACTTGTCCTGGATTCTGGCCTCTGAGTCCAGTGTGATCTGCTTTTCACAGTGACCAGTGGGAAGGCACAGTGCCAGGGACAGGTAGATGGGGGACAGCAGCTGTCACCCATCATATAAGCACCATAGAGAACAGCTAGATAGATTTCTTTCAGACTATGTCCATCTGAAGGAAACCAAATTTCTGCTACATTGACTTTTCTATCTTTGAACCTTCAGCCTTCTCTTCTCCTCTCAGAGGCAGAGCATGAGTGAGTCCCGCTCAGAAATTACGAGGAGCTAGGAAATCTAAATGATGTTCCAATGTACTTCTCCCTTTATTTACTTAGACTGACATGCAAAAAATGGACAGTTCTGATTTTAAGATTTCTTAAGGGGAAGGAAGCCATTGGTTCCTGACTGAACTGGCAGATCCATTTAAGTTCTGCTATAAGATCATGAAATAATGCAATGGGCTAAAACTGAACACAGATCACAGTAGATAAAACGTTAATGGATTGAGATAGAACACATTTCTTTTGCCTATAATTTAGGAAAGCTTTTCTTTTGTTGAGGGTAGAGGAGTGGGGCAGCATGGTGAAACTGTAGTCAAACTGATAACAGTTGAACTGTTTCAGAAAGGATTTCGTAGAGGTTTAAGAGGAATCAGCAAGCCAACCCATTAGGGCAGAACTTGACTGAACTTCACAATGCTGATAGAGAATTCCTGTTAGGGAATATTTGTTTTATTCCTTGCTTAAAAGAGAGTAAAAGTTTATGTACTTATCTTTTACCATTACTTCCCTGTCCTCCTCCTACTCTCCCCCACAAAATCTTAAAATCCAGTGCAGTATAATTTGCATAAAGTTTGACAATTTTTCACAGCACTCTACAAAGTTCTTCAGTATGAAAACCCTAAAGGGCTACTCTCTTTGGAGTCTCTAGGCTCCAAAAAGCTATTGTTTTTCTATCCCACCCAATAACAGGAAGCCTTCAGCAAATTTTCTAAGGCATCGGAGGCATTTTCTCTGACAATACAACATTTACATGCTAAGCAAACAGCCAGGCCTTAATGCTGCTTCAATGAAATTTCATAGTCTGATGCTAATTAAGTCCTCTGCACTAACCAACTTTTTCCTTGACCTACTTTTTTTCTTGCACACACCACCTCTTTGAAGCTCAAACGATCAATTACTTGTAGCTAATATATGAATGAAATTTTCTGTGGTGTCCAGAATAGTCTCAGAAGAGAGATTGCTACATTTGAACTTGTTCTTAAATAGAGATTTCTTTCATGAGTTAGAAATCACTTGGTAGCTAGTCTGAACAGTGGTTCTCACTTTGTAAGGTAATGAATAAAACAGTTCTCCCCTTCCCATTACCATGTGTGAGGATGCCATGGGGGCAAGTCACAAACTGTGACAGCCACTAAAGGTTTGCTTGCTACCTGAGGTGAGAAGAATGGAAGATGTGGTACCTCATTTGGGAATTATTCGTTTAGGTCTTTGACATCCTAGAACAAAGATGCTGAAAGACTCATTTCACATTTTCATATAATATTCAGAAATATTGAAGCCTTAGCTAGTTCATTTCATTCACAAAGAAATAATTCAGGGAAAGTGAAAGTCACCAGACACTGAAATTCCACTTAGAAGGTAGGCTAAGTGACAAATAATCAAATGTATCACCACTGCCCCAGGCAGGATCCTTTTCTCTGTTAACTTTAACAATGCTACCTATTTATTTTACAAATAAAAGTCACCATGTAGGCAGTTTGGGCTTGGCTTTTTTAATAAATTCAAGTGCTGTATTTCAACTAGCAGAGTTGAGAAATCTCCACTATACATATACAAAGGAAAGAGGATTCTAGAGAAGGGACTTGGAAAATTTGTTTTGCTTACTTATGCATACTTTGTATAGAGAAGAAAACTGGATGGATGGCAGTATCTCCCTTCAGGATTACTCTTGAGGACAAATGGATGATCCATTTTACCACCTGAACCTTGGCACACTGTAAGCTTAAACTGAGAGCAATGTATGGGATATCAATAAAGATAACTTGGGTCAAAGAGAACTACTGGATTGAGGTTATCCTGCCAAAAAAACCACTATGGATAACCTAGGCAGTGATTCTCAACTTTCGCTGCATATTAGAATCTTCTAGGGAGCATTTAAAGCTCAGAATGCACAACAGACCAATTAAACGCAAATGTCTAGAGGGGGTCCCAGGCAATTTTAATGTGTAGCCAAGACGGAGAACTACTGGAGTAGGTCAACTAGTTCTGTAATAGAAAACATAAGGCCAGTGTTCATCCAAGCCAGAGGGAAGAGAGGTAAGGCTCCATGGCTTCCTTCTAGATTCATGAATCTAACATGCCTCAATCAAATTACCTGGGCATTTCTCACTTTGTTTTTATATAAATCACTTTGGCTGTAATAGGCAGCAATACCAACAGTAAATTATTGATTTAGGTAAAACTACACTTTAAGTATATAGTATAGCAAAAAGATCAGAAGACAGATAAGACTCTGGGCACAAAAAATAAGCAACAAGGAAAAATTTTCCTAAACAGGATTAATTCCTGAGTCTAAGATATTAGGATGGCTTACAGGCTGAGAATTATTCTACAGTTAGAAAAAAAATAGTTGTGGTAAAAAGATTCATATGATTTTACCACCTCATCTTCCTACAGGATTCATACTGTAACTGGGCAGAAGTTACTGTACCAGTTGTCTCTTACGAACAATGCTTGTCTCCTTACTTGAAATTTCACATTCTCTGTATCTCCACTTGCTCTATCCAAAGTCACCAGGAAAGTAAATAGTTATCAGCTATTACCTCAAACACAGGTAAAAACCTGAAAATGGATCACTCTCTCTCATTTCACTTCTCACCAGAGAATTCCTGTTCAGACATTACAACTAGTCAGTGCATTAGGATGAAAAGGTGGAAAGCATTCCAGGATAACAAAGGGCCAACAGTCCTTCAATTGTGGCAAATATTCAAAAGGTAGGTAAGCTTACTTGGCTCAGTGTACTAGTGCCCTAAATAGGCAATCAGTTGAGTGCTACGATTGGATTTAAAGATTAGGTGGTTTGCCTAGCGGCATCTGACAATTGAAACTGAATTTTCTGACACTTACAATGTTCAAGTGAGGCCATATTGAGAATCCCAACAGTATTGGCATTAAAAACAAGAATATCTCTCTTTGGAGTGATTAAAAGCATAACAGGTCATTCGAAAATCTATGCCACACATACCTCCATGTAAGATTGGCAGAAGGCTCATTATCAGGAAAATATAGTTAGTATTCCAGTCCCCCAGAAGTGGACTGCAAATAGCAATTAAAAAAGAAACTGAGGATTCAAACAAATGTTTCACATCATTAAAAGGAGGAGTTGGGTGCATCTTTAAAACAAAGACTCCACCTCCACTGGCTACTCTTGCCAAACAGAAGCCTGTGGATAAAAGCACTAAACCCAAGTGTCCTGACACTATTTGATTTGGGCAACAAAATCAAACATTAACATCTGAACGTGACAAGAAGAATTTCAGATATTGCAGCCTCTATATTTTGGGTCTGGCTTTCCTCTGCTTGCTACAGAAAGCTATACTCTTTCTTCAGCCATGTGCTCTGAGGTAGAGGAGCTGAAGTGAGTATAGACACTTATGGGACAGTGGCGAAGGAATCCAGCCTTCTCCCCAGGGGGTTACGGGGCAATCTTGAATATGCTCAGTTTTTAGTGGGAGGTAGAATATTCTACATTGACTTATCTGCCTTCATTAAATAAACCTTTCTCTCTCATACACACGTAAACTCACATATACACAGCTGGCAACTCAATATTGCAATTCACAGCAACAGTACACCTACCCAACAGCTACTTTCAACCTAAATTTCATATTAATCCCCAGCCCTTCTCAGGTAGACTCAAGCCAAATTTGTTTTTTTGAGGTCCCTCCTTTTGCCAGGTTTTTAAACACATATTTCACTTTTATACCTACATCTTTTGTCTCTAAAGAACAGCTGCACTAAGTGGGTGCACTGTGTTATAACATCTTTATAAATAGAAAGTGCAAGAAGTAATTTTCTTAGCCAAAAATACAAAGTAACAAAAAGCTCTCCTATCCTATTATGCCAAGAATTTGATTTTTAGAATCAATGATAAAGCTAACAAAATGCTTCTATGCTACCAAGGTCACAGTGGATGAGTAAATATATTTATAAACATACACATATGAAAAAATAGCCAAACTTTCCACAAAAGTTATTTGCGTGAACTATCTTTAGTATGCTACTATGTTCAATGCACGTGCATATACAATTGAATTATATTAGTGTTATTTTATTGAGCCAGTTTTCCAAAAAGAAAACAGGCTCATATTTTAAAAATTCAAGTTACATGATTTAAAATTATTTTTGTAAAAATATTAGAAATGCCATATAAATTCTAAACATTTCTGCTATCTAACTGACAGCCATTCTAGAGGTGGATTTCAGTCACACTTTCGTGACCTCTGTGTTAGGATCTTGGCTTCCAGAGGAAACACATTTTAAGCTTTGTTCCCTATACTGCAATTCTGTTTTCAGTGGTTCTTAAAGAACCACAAGTTTAGGATTCTATTACTTTATAGGAAACTCAGTAGATCATCTTCAAATATGTCATAAACATCTGCTTCAAGATGTGGCTAAAAGCAGAAATCTAAACCTTAAGGAATTTCTTCTACTCACTCAGGTTGTTGTTATTGGCTTGAAATGGTTTAGACTTGTGATGCTGAAAAGAAAGAATAAATATTTTGTCAATCTACAAGGTTTCCTTTTATCTGACTTCATTCTCTTTTGCAGTTTAAGACCACAGAACCTGAATTATTTTTCATGCAACCACCAATGATTTAAAACCTAAGATTCACAGAGAACCCAGAGGAGGGCCCAAAGAGATATAACACAGAATGACAGACATCTCCATAGATTATCACAGTAAGATTTTTCATTCCTTGGGACTACATCTTCAAAGGTTTTCCCTGTCAAAAAGGGCTGACTACACCGGAGTGTATCACACCAGAGTGGAAATGTGAATCAAAAATAAAGTTTTAAGGCTCTTTTAGGTTTTATTCATTAAAATTTGCCCTGTGACAGGTTAAGGATGAACTGGAAAAATAAACTTGCCTCAATCTTTATTTGATAAAATCTAATTAATCTTTATGCCTAAAAGCCTCAAACATTCCATTCCTGGTTATTCAACTACAAAGTCTTTCTCCCTTCCCATGATTTTGCAGGCACCCCAAGTTAAGTCTTCAGCCTTAAGTACCCCTTTTATTTCTTGTATTTGCAATGTGTGAGGCTGACATAGGAACAGAAACCTCTTCACTATATGAAAATTGAGGATGACCAACAAGAAGACCACACAGCTAATTCTCCAGGAATCCATTGCACATGGAATGGATAATCTCAAACCTTTCTTAAGAAATGTATTGATTTGGGGATGATCATTTGTATGGCAGAATTCGTTCTCTGCCCATATTTCTCCTCAGGGCAGGAATAGTCTTAAGTTAGCAGGCATATATAAAGCATCCTAAATCTGAAAAATCTAGCCCAAAATAAAAAACTTTCAATGATCTGGTATTTTAAATGAGGCTTGGTAGCAATTACTAATTTTAGAAGATTAATAACATAAAATTGGCTGATGGATTTTCCTGCATGAAGAGTAAAAAGAAGAGGAGGAACCAATTCATCATCTAGCATAAAATTATGCTGGAGGAGGTGTGGTGGAGGCAGAGATGGAACCAAGATAAGTACGTAAAACTTTCACTATCTCAAGAATATGATCCATCCAACCACCTGACAGGAACTCCTGTTAACAGAGATTTAGTAGCCATATAAGTTTTCCATACCACAGGAATTTTTACCTATTTGTAAATTTAAAATATTAAATATTGCTGACATCTCTAATAAATCAAATTTTATAACAGTTAAGCTTTTTATTACCTCTGCAGTATTTCTGGCTCAACATGTAGTTACTATGGCTTCACAGCAAAGACAGGCAAATGCTCACAATTTGGAACACAGTACAAAATGAAAAAATGGAAACTTTGCTATAAGATAAACTTGGGAGGAGAGGGCAACTAATGAAATATACTCCAGTTATTTGTCTCATTCTCCTTTATGGCCCATGGTACACATAATAAATGGTTTCTACAGAAAAAAAGGGACCTAAATGAACACAGAATAGTCAAGACAAATTAAAAAAAACCTAATGCTACCTGTAATAGATTAAAGATGGCCCCAGATCCTTGACATACCTTTCATGAATGGTAGGGTATTTTCCTCTCTACTGAAATCTGGACTGACCCAGACTCAAAAAGATTTGAGTTCTTATTTTTTAAAATAGAGACGAAGTCCTGCTACATTGCCCAGGCTGGTCTCAAACTCCTGGCCTCAAGCAATCCTCCCGCTGTGGCTACCCGAAGTTCTGGAATTACAGGAGAGTTCTGGAATTACAGGAGACGCCATGCCCAGCTACACTGAATTCTTTGACCAAGAGTATGGCAGTGACTCTATGATTCTGGCCCTGGCTTTTAAGAGGACTGGCACCTTCTGCCCAGCCTCTTGGAGGCTTAAGCTGTCATGTAGTAAGTCTGACAACCTTGATGAAGAGAACTCATGTCAAGTCCCTGAGACTCTATGGAGAAGGAGAGAAGCCCTGCTGAGCCCAGCCTTCTAGTCCTTCCTACCAAGGTGTCAGGCATGTCAGTGAGATCATCTTGGCCTCTCCAGACTAATCCAATCACCTGCTGAATACCGCTAGGTGACCTGAGTCATTGCTACAGGGAGCAGAATTGACTAGAGGAGCCCTTCTTGAATTTCTGATTCACGAAATCATGATATACATAAAATGGTTGGCTTTAAGTCATTAAGGTTTAGAGTAGTTTGTTACAGAGTAATAAGTAATTGTAACACTATCTTGCAATTTTTGCCTTGGTAACTCATCCACTCACTCACAATTAGACCCACCAATTGGGTCTAATTGGGTGACTCCTCTAATAAGTATGTGCTATCCACAGAAAATATTCACCATTCAAGTCTACTCAGAGATCAACTGCATCCTCTTTTGAAGAAATCTTCCAATCATTTACTTTAAAACCAGTAATGTCACTGGCTATTGTATATTCAAGTCAATCCCAACTCTTTGTAAGTGAATGCAGTCAATGTGATGTGTGGAGCTAGTCTGGGCTTTGGAATCAGATTAGTAAATATTGGCTCTGAAGTTTACCAGATATATAACCTTGGCCTCATCAGTTTCCTCATCTGTAAAATGTGGTATAATTATACAACTACTAGAGGCGACACAGTGTATTAAGAGTGTTAACTCTAGAGTTAGACTGCCTGGGTTAAACTGTCTGTTCCTTCCCCTCTAAAATGAGGACAATAACAGTATCTACCCTCATGGGATTGTCATAAAGATTAGATGAGTTAATCAACATGAGGCACACAGAACTGTGCCTGGCACAATAGTAAGCGTTCAAAAAAAGTTAGCTATTTTTAGTACTACTATTATTATCTCATAGAACTATTTTGAGGGTTAACTGCAGTTATGACAGAAAAGCGCTTAGTACAGCCAACTCTGCCCCCTTCTTTTTGATCTTTTATCTCTGCAGTGAAAAGTGCAGGCTTTTTAAAAGCATACATCCTAGACTCCAACTGAGTGGTTTAGGACTTTCAAGTATAGGAAGTCACATCTAAACTATGTCTAAAGCCAGTTTTATTACACAAATTCCAAGCATGTTATCTAGTACCAAAAAGTATTTAGTATTTTTATTTCATTTATTATTATTATTTTTGAGATGGGGCCGTACTCTGTCGCCCTGGATAAGTGCGGTGGCATCATCATAGCTCATTGCAACCTCGAAGGTTGAGAATCCTGGGCTCAAGTGATAGCTCTGCCTCAGCCTCCCAAGTAGCTGGGACTAAAGACATGTGCCACCAATCTCCAGCTAATTTTTCCTATTTTTTTGTAGAGATGGGGTCTTGCTATGTTGCTCAGGCTGGCCTCAAACTCCTGACTTCAAGTGATCCTCCCATTTTAGCCTCCCAAAGTGCTAGTAATCTGTAGCGACGAGCCACTGTGCCTAGCATTACTTAATATTTACTTAACAGAATAGATTCTGCTATATATTACCTATCAATGAAGATAAGTGATTTCATAGTATAGAAAACATGTTCCCATGAGATATTTTAACTTTTGGCATTATGGATTAATTTAGATCTTAAGAGTCACAGTATATTAAATTGTGGTGTAATCTATATGAGATGCTGAACATAAAAGTCTCTTAGCCAGATGGTGAATTCTAGCCTCCTTAACAAAACCTACTGAGTAGACATGTTAGAAGCAAGCATTAGAAAAGTTTTTTCATTAACTGTTCTGCCTTTTTAACTTAGTTTTGCTGTTAAAGCTTTCACTATCTGAGATAGTGGGCTTCTTTTAACTGTATTAAGATAGGAGATATTTCTGTTATAGTGATAATGGGGAAGATATGAGATAAGAAATTTATTTGTATATGTACCCTCTGTAAAATAATGTGGATTTCAAGTACTTCCACTGTATGTTACAACTGAGGGAAAAGATAGTCTGCCTACACAACAAAACTGGATAATTTGTACAGACATCTTTCAGGTTTTGATATCATTGTCATTATCAATAATTACATCCTTTGGAATGTAACCAATTCAGATGATTCAAAGTACTCATAATATCGAACTCTGGCTTCCCCTGAGCAAGAAAGTCTGCTTACTTTGTAAATAAAAAGACTGGCTCTGGGAAAAGCACCGCTTAAGACGATTGAAGACAAGGAAAGAGATTAGAAGGCAAAGAAGGAAAAAGACTGAAAATTATCAAAGAAATCATTAATGCTTGGCAAAATCCACTGCTTTCAACAGATTCATATTTAAGTGATATGTATTACTAAGACCTCAAATAGAATGGGAGGCAGATGATTCACTGGCTATCTAAATCCAATTTCTTCCACAAGTCCTACATCCCAGATTAGCCAGACTCTCAGGTTAATCAGAGAAGTAATACTCCAAATCTCAAGAATCTACCATCACTATGGGTATAAGTGCTCTAAGACAAGGCAGAGCTAATCTAGATAAATATTCTGGAACCTTATAGATGAGGATTATTTATTATTCAGAGGTTATATCATATAAAACTTACTAATATCCAATTAGAAGACCACATTTAGAATAAAATACCTCGTGAAGAGATGCCCTGTAAGAGGCTAGTCATTCACCTGAACCTTGTCTATGTTGGTAGAGCTCACAACAGAGAAGCAAACTCACCGTACTGTGTCAGCATGGCCTAGAAAACTTTGTCCAGATAAATTTAGCTCAGAAGTCCATATACTGTTTCCAAATGGGGAACAATTATACTCTCCTCCTGCAAGGATTTCTGTTTCTTAACACCCTAGTATTTCCCATTTTTTCCACATCTGGTATAAGTTAGCTATCATATTTGAAACTAAGAATGAACACTGACAAAACAAATATGTAATGATCTAATATATATTTAGAAGACTTGTAGATAATAATAGAGATGGGAAGATAGATCTAAGAAAAATTTGAAATTCTCAGACGTTTCATTATATTTTAAAACATCTGGAAAAAAGGGAGAAAAATTTGGCTTTTTACTGCTCTGCACAGAACAGAGTGAATTTACTTGAGGAAATTAAAATGAAAATTTATAGTAAAAAAGATAGGAGTTTCTAATCCAAAAAACCAGCACTTTGGATAAGAATCAAAACACTTATTCATAATAAAAATTAATTTTTAATCCTATTGGGAATAAATTCATTCTTGTCATCATTATGCATACTAGTTCAAGTTAACTCAGAGGAATGGCAAAACTTACTTATAAAAACATTTCTTTCTCAGCATACTCAGCAAGACAAAAAAAAAAAACATTTCTTTTTTTAACAGTGTTTTTTGTAAACATGGTGGTACGCATGTAACCCCACTGTGGGAATTATTTTTAAGAATTACCTTGCTATGACTACCAACCTACAGTTTAATCTACCTGTGCCTTTAAGGCAAGGGCAAATCCTAAGACCCATTCTGAATGCCTTTAATGCAATGGGAATCATGAAGCAGGGGCACAAAGAGAATTATGAGAAGTGGATCTAGAAAAAGACGACAAATTTTTTCAAGAAACTGATGGACATGTGACAATATGAATTTAAAACCTCACCCAAAGTATCATAAAGGCAAAATGGCAGGAGTGACAAATTTGGGGGGTGGCAAATTTGGGGGGTGGCCACTTTGTGAAGTGACAAATTTTTCTATCAAGTACCAGACAGCAAATATTTTCATGCTTTGCAGGCCATGTGGTCTTTGTCACAAATATTCAACTTTGCCATCATAGTAGGAAGAAGCCAAAAGCGATGTTTAAACAAACAGGTGTGGCCCTGTTCCATTATAATTTTCTTCACACAAGCAGGAGGTTTGCTGAACTCTGGTCTAATTCATAAATCTCAGGGATATACTTTGCTAAGGGCACCCTCTCAAACTTCAGGATTTACCCGACAATTGATTGTCGTCCCTTTTCTATATCTTAGTAACCAAAATATATCACTACTTTAAACTCTTTCCCATATGGCATAAGAATTCCATTTTCAAAGACTGAGCTCAACAAAGACTCATCTCCTATCCTTGAACAAGTAAGCACACAGATAAGGGAAAGCACATTTGAGGAAGAGAAAAATAAAACACCTGTTATACCTGAAAAGTGAAAAACTTCAAAGATTCCAATGCCTTCCTGATTACATGCCTTTCCAGTATGAAGATGATTTTTGTCTTTGTTCAATTTATTTTCCATTATCCATTGCTTTCATTTCTTCAAATTAGATCTTTTAGTCAAACAAAATTTAGTTTTCACTAGTTAGAAGAAACACAATTAATACCAAGAGACAGCTAAAACTTGGTAAAAGTTCTTTCTTTCTTTTTGAGACAGTCTCACTCTGTTGCCCGGGCTAGAGTGCTGTGGCATCAGCCTAGCTCACAGCAACCTCAAACTCCTGGGCTCAAGTGATCCGCCTGCCTCAGGAGGAGAATCTTCAAGTAGCTGGGACTACAGGTGTGTGCCTACACCTGGCTAATTTTTCCTATTTTCAGTTGCCTGGTTAATTTCTTTCTATTTTCGGTAGAGACAGGGTCTAGCTCTTGCTGATGCTGGTCTCCAACTCCTGAGCTCAAGCGATCCTCCTGCCTTGGCCTCCCAGAGTACAAGGATTGCAGGCATGAGCCGCCAAGCCCAGCCTAAAAGTTATTTTTCTTGACCAAAGATTATTCAGCTATTAAGAATGAAGTTCCCTACAGATGGAGACAGCTCTGTAAACAAAAAAAAAAAAAAAAAAAAGAATGAAGTTCCCTATTTCACTCTTTCACCACACCACTTCCAATCCAAGCCAGATTTCAAGTATGAAGTTAGGGAAAATAATCTATTTCTATTATCATACCATCTTTGGAAAACCCTGTTTCACTGATAAAGAGGGAACTAGAAATATTTTTAAAAATGCCAAAAAATAAGAAAAGTTTCCTTAACTGCTCTCTTCTTTTTCAATCTTTATCCTTTACAAACTAATTTATTTTTATATATTCAAGATCTGATTTAACCCTCTAGTATAATAAAATGATGTGGGCAGTTTGCAACTTACATAAAATTCAACTTGGTTCAGAGGTAAATATGGTACTGAGTATAAAAAGAACAAATCATTAGAAAGAGCCTTTCTGCCTAAGTACAGTGTTACTGTCCATGCCAATGCTGTATTTTATACTGGTATCAGAGTTCAGAGAGAATAAAAGGTACATCTTAGAATGAAAGCAGGTTAACATATTGCCATCTCTCTTCTTTGCTGAGAATACTGGATAGTGCCTTTGCTATTAAGTGCCACTCAATAAATGAAAAGAGTCCCAGTGTTTGCAATTTCATGGCATTAATGTACTTAATGACAATTTAGCTCTCATTGCTAATGCAGTTCCTTCCCTTCACAAGGTTAACATGTGCAAGTTAAGATTTGGTAAAGAGTTTTCAGCATCAGCTAAAGTCCATTTAGTACATCCTTAAGAGGTATCATCCGTGCACACACCAATATAGGTATTCATTAATGTAGACAGAACATTACTAACTCCTATAACCCACCAGTGATGATAGCTAAGAACTAGGACAATGTCACAGTGAACTTGGATAAGAATTTTGAATAGTTATTTAGTATAATAATATCTCTTCTAACTAAAATGGGGAAATTCCTTTCAGAAGCTTTGTGTAAAAGTTAGCCTGGCTTGAATGTTCATGAATTTCATGGCTCTGGCTAGGCCAATTAAGAGGAGAGAATCAGCAAGCATGATTGTGCTGAAGTGGTCTTAGGGGACCAAGAAGTACTCTATTCACAGTATCAATATAGGAAAAGGCTATTAGAAGTGATTGAAACGGGAGGGGGAAACCACTAAACATTCACAGCATTTCCCCATGACTTAGACAGTCCCTACTGCATTTAAGATGTTTCTTGCTAACCCTGGATGGAGTATTGACAAATGTTACACAATTTCTCTTTACAGAAATTACTGCACTTCACCTTTAAAATTTGGTAATAGTTTAAAAAGCTCTATATTCTCACATATAATCTAAGAAATTAACAAAGCAACAAAGAACTTTCCAGCATACTATTCCTCAAAAGTAGGATGGACTTAAATTTTTGGTAGGTGTAAAAGTTCCATCTAAAGCAGCATATTTTGTACTTCTCACCTCCCTATTTAGTAATGGCAAAATCCATTGAAAGCCTTCATGACCAGCTGAAATGTTTCCCTAGAGATTTTAGTCTAATTTCAGCTCTGCCTTTTCTATGCTGCAGTGCACAGCCAGTCTCTAAAGATGGCTCTAGGTGAATCTTTATCCTATCATGCTGTTGCCCAACTAAAGAGGAGGATGCCCTTGTCTAAAGACAAAATATACTTTCAATGCTGCCTTTAAGGGTAGGCTCTTATTAAAGGTAGCATCATTACATTCCTATAAAAATGCATTTCTATGCTTTTTCAGAAGAGAAAATAACCTTTCTCTAGTGATAGGGTGCAGCTGTATGTACATATACAATTCTCAGATTGCTTAAGAGCAACCTTTTGCATTCCAATTTCTTATCTCAAATAAATGTCATTCGTTTCTACCCACTTTTCCACATACTACAAAGCATTCTCAGGAAAGGAACACATGACTAACATTCTCACAAACGGTTCACCAGTGCAGGTATGACCTGCCCCTCTCCCAATCTCTTTTACAGTCATTTATGCCTCTGCACCAAAACAATTTCTTAAACCATTACATATTTAAATGCTAAAAAAAAATTAATGATTACTCAAGAGAATCTAGAGATTTTTCTCTTTGCACTGTAAATCATAAGCATCTATTTGCCTGCATCCCTTAATATACCTCCTTTTCTCTCTGCATGCAAGACAGGGCATCTAAAGCTCTACATGTTTGGTTAAGTTCTTTTTCTCAATGCTGGATTAAGAATCTTAGAAATACCCAGAATTACTAAAAAGGTCCCTTAGAGTTTTAAAAATCTTAGGAATGATTAAGAAACCAAACCTGATAAAAACTGATCCCTTGATCATTTATTGCAAAATGATTGTGCATGATGTTTTCTGGTTAAGTGCCCTGTATGTATTATTAAAAAGCAAAGCTCTTGGAGTCACCAGCAATTTGCTGATGGTTGGTTTATGAATTACTAGGTTTGCAGACCCAAGACATAGATTTAAGTGAGGTTCTTCTATTTGACTGAAAATATAAACTACTACACATGTAGAAGGAAATGGAATTGTGGTTGCAATAAGAACCATAGTGTTGAATTTCTTCAACCACAATACTGCAGAAAAAATATGTTTAAAACTTCATATAAAAGTTATCAAATACGGAGACCTGTGGATTTAAAAATACAATCCAGGCTCATTTCACTAGAAAGTGACATTTTTGATGTACAATATTGCTGTTATGTAAAACTAGGAGCCGAAGAGACTGGATGAAACTTTGGTAGTCAGCCTAGCACATTAATTCATCTGGACTAGAGCCATTTCCTCATACCCAAGGATGTATAGCACTATGGTTTACAAACACCAGTCAGGAAGTTGCCCTATGGCTCTGTGCTGTTCGACATTTGCAAAACATAAGAATGCTTCCTTCCCTGCTCCCGTCTTCCTCAACGCAAAACTCAAGCCCCCAAAATGTAGCAGTACCCGTTACAAACACTGCTGCTCATTTCATTTCCAGTTGCCTAAAGTGCTTCAGGTGATGCTGCCCACTAGAATACTGCTCCAAGATGGCTGATTTTATGAAATAATCAGGCAAAGTATTATATGCCTAGTCAGGGCAAAGATAAAGTCTAACCTTTCAAAACAGTAAGAATCACCAGCATTCATTTGTTTTTTTCTGGAAATGTAAATGCACGTTCTGGCAGGGAAGGAAGAGGAAAAAATTCCTCCTCCTCACCAGCATCTTGAATACCTCCTTCTCTCTTGTGGCTGGCTGCTTCTGATGGTTGAGGCTCCTGATGTATTTTTTAAGATCTGGCAATTATAGCCACCAAGATGATGTGAACCAAAGTACAGTGTTCAAACATGACTGGTACATAAATGACCATTTATCATTGTTTTGTTAAAAAATTTTTTTTCTTATAAAGGTAACAAACCAAGGCTGTTGATCCCTGAATTAGAAAAGTTGATTTGCTTGAGTATTTTCCAAAGTGTGAGGTGGGAAGGAGGAGGGGTAGAGCCTTTAGTGCTTTTGTGTATGTTACTGATCCTCTAGTTTGGCAACATCTTGAGAGCATCTTCTGGTCTAGTGACATGGCATTTTGTGAATGTAAGTACCAGCCCATGGCCCTGATGCTGGCTGCTTATGGTCCAAAGGGGAAGAGGGTCTGTTCCCTCTCCCTCGATGTTTCAATCTGGCCCAGTGGTGGACACAGAGCCCTGGGCAGTTTCCCCGGGAGCAACTGTCTCTTCCTGTGAAGGCGATTCTTCCTCACCTTGTCCTCGAGATGTGACAGTTGTTTCAGGGGAGATGCTGTGAGGCCCCTCCAGGGGTATACAGCCAGGATGGTTTTTGCGAAAGTGCTGATTCAAGATGGCCTGGAAGGGAAAACTTTTGCCACAAACGTGACAATGAAAGGGCTTGTTGCCTGTGTGCTTGCGGATATGATACTCCAGTTGATCTTTCCGGGTATACTTCTTGCCACACATGCGGCAGACAAATGGTGTGATCCCCATATGTAGGCGCATGTGGCGATCCAGGCTTCCCTTTTGGTTGAAAGATTTGGCGCAGTAGATACAGGTAAGACGAGGGTTGTACCGGAACCATCGCTCAGATACTTCCTGCTCTCGAAGATACTCCACATAGCCACTTACTCCCATCATTGCTGACTCTTCTACCTGTGCCAGGTGAGGGAAATAAGAACGAACATATCTTATTAAGCATACATATTAAAAGCAATAGAATCCATTTTTTACCTGTTACTAAGACATATGCTTATTTTTAGTGGAAAACCAAACAATAAGTTACTATTAAAAAGTAAAGATAGTAATATAATAATTCTTTAAAAATCTGAGGACACTCTATTCTATTATCATAAAAGGACAACACAATAAAACTACTTTCTATCTGATAAACTGGATGCTTATTAAACCCCTGCTGAATTTACTATTTTACAATGATAGGAGAATCTGAACCCACTGATACTAACCCCTGGATCCTAACCTTCAATTACATTCTAGACAATCAAGAACTTTGGTAGTGCTGGTCCAACAGAATTTCTTGTGATGATGAAAATGTTCTAAAACCTACACCATCCAATTCAGTAACCACTAGCCACCCGTGGCTATTGAGCATTTATAATATGGCTAGTGCAACTGCTATTATTAATTAAAATTTAAACAGTCACATGTGACATGTGGCTAATGGCTACTGTATCATACAGTATAAAATATATAATGGCAAACATTCTATCTATGACATTATCATTAATACCATATTTTAATCCAGTAGTAGCATGCTTTATAAAAATGTATACAATTTATAGGTGATAGCATTTCTTTTCATCTAAAAATATTTTGGTGCCATATCAACAAATTGTCTTCATTGTAAAGACTAAGTTTAACTGCCCTCAGAGTAAATTGGCTGAAGGCTTGGGTTCCTTCTATCTGAAAGCTGGGAAGGAGTAGGAATATATTACTTTCAATGAATAACTGAAAAATCTTAGATTTATAAATGCTTTTCACTCAGAATTCTATATTAAAATACCATCAATAAGAAACTACTAACTTTTTTAACCTACTGACTTCTGAGATCATTTTTTTTTTTTTTTTGAGACAGAGTCTCACTCTGTTGCCTCAGCTAGAGTGGCGTCAGCCGTGGCGCCAGCCTCGCTCACAGCAACCTCCAACTTCTGGGCTCAAGTGATCCTCCTGCCTCAGCCTCCCAAGTAGCTGGGACTAAAGGCATGTGCCACCATGCCCGGCTAAATTTTTCTATTATTTTGGTAGAGACAGGTCTCGTTCTTGCTCAGGCTGGTCTTGAACTCCTGAGCTCAAACAATCCATTTGCCTCAGCCTCCCAGAGTCCTAGGATTACAGGTGTGAGCCACCACGCCCAGCCTGAAGTCACTGTACTTTTATTTATTTTTTCTCATCAGTCAACTTGAAAAGTCATTGTATTTTTTAAAAAACTTTAAAATTTGGGAGGGAATTATATATGTTTTAAACATGTAGGAAGAAGTTATATATGTTTATTATATATGCTTAATATAGCCCAATGTAAAGAGAATAAAATGTCAAAGTTAACTCTGAATTAACTACAGAAAGATTCATCTAGTTAGCAATTAATCTTGTGCCCTTTTAATTTCTAAAAGTGTGTTTTGTCTCCTTTCTCACATGCTAGCTGACAGTGCGATTCAGCATTTCCAACAGAGGCAATTCTCAAAAGTTTGGAAAGCAGTATGTCAAGTCAAGGGTTGAGTACAAGACTGAGGTTTTAGATTATTTCTGATTTGTTTCATGTAACATTTTTTTCTGATTCACTGGATAATAAAAACTGAGCCCATATGAAGAATGAGGAATTATCCCAGTAAAAGGTTTTGGGTAACCAAGGACAAAACACAGAATAACTTCTCTGAGGCTCAGTATTCCCATCCATAAAATACAAAGGTTAACATATGCTTTACCAGCTTTATAAGATTCTCATAAGAATCAAGTATGACAATAGTACCTTCAAATATTTTGAATGCATAACACCATTATGGCAATTAAGGGTGCTGGAACCTTGAGTTTAAATCTGAGTTCTGTTTATTATATGACTCTGAACAAGTTAATTTAACTATCCTATTCCTCAGTGTCATCTGTAAAATGAATATAAGAAAATAACATCACTTACCAATTGCTTTGGACACTGAATGAGCTAATACACTAAAGGTAGCTCAATGTTAGCTATTATTAAACATTACAAACTCATATTATTTATAATCTTGAAGGTAACAATATCCTAAAAATTCTGCCCAACTTTGAGGAAAGTAATGTCATACCAGTATTATCCACATGCTGAAAATGCATTTTAGAAATCAGTAATGAACTATAATCACAAAATCACACATTATGATTAGTCTCATCTAAAAAATTATTTCAGTAAACTTACAATGGAAGAGGCAAGTAAATGAACACAAAAGGTAAACTGGGTCCTTGTCAAAGGCAGAAACATATCTCTGGTAGTTTTACTGATTCCAACTTTAAACAGAAGCAAGAGCAAAAATGGCTGCCTCCTGGTTCTCTCTGTTGCTAAGAGGTGGATCATTTCACTCCTTCCACTTGGCAATTACCTATTAGAGTGTAAACTCTTTAAGCACAGAGACATTCTGCATTGCCAAATATCCAGGAATTTGATCAATGTCTGGCTCAATAATTATTTCTAATGAATTATTCCATATAAATAAATGATTTCTATAATTTCCAAAAGAAACATGAGTCTAGATTATTGACATGGACTTCAAAGCCTTCCACCATCCTTACTTGCAATTACTAATCAGAGACTCAAAGAACTGAAGGGGCTTCAAAAATAATCCAACTTGCTGTATTAATGTTATTTAATGATCTCTAAAATCAGAGATTTCACAAGTAACTAAATGACCCCCTATTTAGTAGGTACCTATTTATTTGGCATCTACTAAACAGCTTTAGTTACTCAGAGTTACTTGGAGGTAAAACAACTCCTGTTTGTTGAGTACCTGATAAGGCAATGTCAGAGATACAAAGAAGATTAGAAAATGTGGTCTCTGCTCTCAAGGAACTTTCAATTTAATAGGAGACACAAAATTAAAGCAAATAAGAAAGGAATAACTTACATGAGTCAAGAGAATTACGAAAAATTATATTGTATTTTGTAAATGCTGTAATAGTGGCTGAAGAAAGCAAGCTTAAATAGGACTGGGCTAGTTAGGGCAGATTAGGTGTTGGGCCTTGGCTGGACCCAGACACCTGGGATGAATGAGGCACTTCAGATTCAAGATGCAGAGAGAAAAGTAAGTTTGATGTGGTTCCGACACATGCAGAAAGTCTGTTTGAGACAGACAGTGAATACTGATGAGTGGCAGGAAAACTTGGGTTAGAAAATTTTAAATTATCTGGAAAATTAAGCCAAGTATTTTAACCCCATGTGGTAGAAAAAAAAAGGCTTCAGCATATTTTAGAGTAAAAGTGTCACTTTAGTAGTCCTTGCCTTGTTTTGATTCTCTGTGGTAGGAGTGAGTAGACTCACCATAATAAACTTTCACACGTTAAGTCATGCATATCACCCTAATATCATCTCCACACAGTTATTACCTATCTCCTATTTCTCTATAGCCTCTACTTTTTGCTTCAGCCAGGTAAACACTCTTGCAGAAGTCCAATTCTTACCCCTTTTGTATCTACATATGGAATTATCCCTTTCTAACTCAGGCGTCCTCAAACTACAGCCTGTGGGCCACATGCAGGTGTTTTTGCCCGTTTGTTTTTTTTACTTCAAAATAAGATATGTGCAGTGTGCATAGGAATTTGTTCATAGTTTTTTTTAAACTATAGTCCAGCCCTCCAATCATCTGAGGGACAGTTAACTGGCCCTCTGTTTAAAAAGTTTGAGGACTCCTGTCCTAACTTTTTTAACAACTGTATTTAAAACCTCCTTAATAACACTTTCCTTAAGATACTGATTGCAGTAACTGCATTTTAAGCAATCTTATTCTCACAACATTGTCACTGAAGTCTATACTGTATAGTCTTATACATATATGTTTTTATATTTTTTGTGTATTTGTCAGTCTGTCTCATCCCCACGTTAAGTTGTAAGGTTTACTTCATTTCTCTATTTAGTCATGTACCACATAATGATGTTTTGGTCAGTGATGGATTGCATACAGATGGTGGTTCCATAAGACTATAATATCATATTTTTACTATTTCTTTTCTATGTTTATATATACAAATACTTACCATAGTGTTACAACTGCCTACAGTATTCAGTACAGTAACATATTGTATAGGTTTGTCACTAAGAACCAATAGGCTACCATACATCCTAGGTGTGTAATAGGCTACTCCATCCACATTTGTGTAAGTACACTCTATGATGTTTTCACAATGATGAAATTGTCTAACAATATATTTTGATGTATTTTGACAGGGATATGCATTTGACACATATCCCTGTTATTAAGTGACATGACTATAAGTGCATAATAGTAATCTCTGCATTGTTATCATACTGTATTTAAGAAATGAGAAAAAGGGCCCTAATTATATGAGTAAACTTACTTTTCCTCCAAGTTCCTAACACTTTCTCTGAAACTTTATCAAAACTAAAAAAGAGGCCAGGCGCAGTGGCTCACACCTGTAATCCCAGCTCTTGAGGAGGCCAAGGTGGGCGGATCGCTCAAGGTCAGGAGTTCGAAGCCAGCCTGAGCGAGAGCGAGACCCATCTCTACTATAAATAGAAAGAAATTAATTGGCTAACTAATATATATAGAAAAAAAAATTAGCCGGGCATGGTGGCACATGCCTGTAGTCCCAGCTACTCAGGAGGCTGAGGCAGGAGGATCGCTTGAGCCCAGGAGTTTGAGGTTGCTGTGAGTTAGGCTGACCCCACGGCACTCACTCTTGCCTGGGCAGCAAAGTGAGACTCTGTCTCAAAAAAACAAAAAACAAAAAACAAAAAAAAACTAAAAAAGACAGTTTGTAACAATGTCTTGGTACAATTATGATATCATGTACACAATAAATATACAGTGATTTAGATAAAATTAAACAAGATACTATCAGTATAATGTAGAGGCTAAAAAAATTAACCATGTAATCTTAATCCACCAGTGTTTCCTTTCTAAAGACAAAAAAGTGTTTACAATTTATTATATTCTACTTGGTGAGTTCACACACTTTTTAAAAAATTAATCTTCAACAAAGACAGTTGCAAAGAAAGTAGGAAAAAAAAATCATTCCAATCCTATGTAAAACATGTTAGTCTAACCAAAGATTCAGGAAGAAAATGACAAGATCCAAGCACAAATAATAATAAACACAAAAATGAATAAGCAATTTGTTTACTAATATATAATACTATATAAATTAGTAGCTATGTGTATAGGTAAAGGTGTTATATCTGCATACATATAAAACCAGACTCATATCCATTCCAGTCTCTAAATTACCTGCATGTAGTTTTCAGGAGCTATTTTTATTATTCTCAAGGCTATAGACTGGTTCCTATAATTAGGAAAAAGTTCCACAATCTCGTTATCTAATTTTACTTCTCAAACTCTGCTGACACCAAAAGTGTATTTCCCAAATGCTCACAAGCAAGAATAAAGAAAAAAGTAATCAAATACGATACTTCAACAGGGTCCCTATTACCTCTCCTACATCTTTCCTTTTTTTTTTTTTTTTTTGAGACAGAGTCTCACTTTGTTGCCCAGGCTTGAGTGAGTGCCATGGCGTCACCCTAGCTCACAGCAACCTCAAACTCCTGGGCTCAAGCAATCCTGCTGCCTCATCCTCCTGAGCAGCTGGGACTACAGGCATGTGCCACCATACCTGGCTAGTTTTTTCTATATATATAGTTGGCCAATTAATTTCTTTCTGTTTATAGTAGAGACAGAGTCTCACTTTTGCTCAGGCTGGTTTTGAACTCCTTACCTCGAGCAATCCGCCCGCCTCGGCCTCCCAGAGTGCTACGATTACAGGCGTGAGCCACCTCACCTGGCCAATCTTTCCTTTCTTATTCATTATATTCTGCTCTTACACAATGACAATTCCTCCAACCACCACAGTAATCCTAGATCCACAACTACATACCTGGGAGCTGGGTTGCTTAGGCTCATCCATTCTCCCAGGAGACTCACTTCTGGCTCTGTGTCTCTCTGTCAAGGGAACAACACTGCCGGAGGGGCTAAATCTGTCGGAAGAGGAGCATAAAAGGGACTAATAGTAGTGTCAAAGAACTTAAAAAATGGTATGTCTCCCCTCTTTATTCTATGGCTGAGAAAGGGCGAATAGACCAAACAACAGATAATTGAGAAATACTTTCAGAGTCAATACAGGATCTGATTCAAAATAAGATACAGGTTTGCCCTAGTGAATATAAATGAAATGCAAGATGACACAGCAGACAGACCATATGAGCTGGTGAAGCTAAAGCTAAATATAAGCGTTCTATCCTTACATACGTGCTGAAAGACTGTAAAAGAATAAATTATAACTAGTGTATAATTTTGTTTCTTCTCTGTAACTATTAGGTTTTTGGTTGTTTCTTCTCCCAGGCCCCATGATAACCTGTTATACATTTCATATTGTTGATACAGATCATGAAGATTAAAAATCTTTGCATTTAAGTTGGTATTACTTCTTTTCTTTTTCTTTTTCGAGACAAGGTCTCTGTCACCTAGGCTAGAGTGTGCAGTGGTGCAATCACAGCTCACTATGGCTGCAGCCTCAACAGAACTCCTGGGCTCAAACGATGTTCCTACCTCAGTCTTCCAAGAAGTTGGGACTACAGGAAAGCGCCATCACGCCTGGCTAATTGTTAAAAAATGTTTTTGTAGAGACTGGGTCTTGCTATGTTGCCCAGGCTGGTTTCAAACTCCTGGCCCAGTGATCCTCCCACCTAGGTCTCCCAAAGTGTTGGGATTACAGGTGTGAGCCATCATACCTGGCCTAGTATCACTTCTGATATAGTTCTAATACAGGAGGACAATAGTGCTAACACAGGAGGGCAGTAAGTTCTACGCTCAAGAATATTTTAACCATTAAAGACATAAGGAAAATACTCAAATTAAGATCACCTGAAGTAGATACAGAACATACTACCTGAATGTCTGTGACGCATTTGCCTCTCAAGACCAGATGTAGTTTTTATTGCTCATATGGTTAATTTTATTTTTAACAGAGGGAAAGAACAAATATTACCAATCTCAATTAGTAACATTTCTTTCTTTCAATTGGGACTTTCTTTCAATGACTTGGATTAAAACTTGTGCTATTTCCACCAAAAGAAATGTTCTAACAAATTCAATGTATTAGAAAGGGAAAAGTGAGGCAGAGAGCATAGCAGCACTGGTGAAACAAAGAAGAATCTCAAGTCTGTGGTAGCAGCAGTCACCCATGAAAGAAAACAGCAAAGATATCATCAAATGACATGTGAAAAAAGAAATGAAAAACATCCAAAAAGCTTTTCTTTGCAATTATCATGTTTTACTAATTTGAAAAGAACAATTACTGCTGGTACCATACTTCCTCTAATTTGGTAAATGGGGGCAAAGAAAAGTAAACAGTGCTACAAAGGAAAGTGAAACTCCCGGAGGCCACCTACCTGTGTGATAACATACCAAGGAAGGGCAATGCTGCCAGGTTCCCAGGTGATGATCAGCTCCCTGCCTGGAATCCCGAGGAAGCCCTGGCAATTACTGATCCTATTGTGGCTGCAGATGCTATTCTGATTCATGGAAGTGTCTAACTTTACCATAGTTCTCACAACACTGTGAATACTTCAGGACTAGGAGCTTCCTGCTTTAAAAAAATAAGAATGCAAGTCTTTTGGTACACCTCCAATTCCCCAACATCAACTTATTTGGCTAAGAACATCAGGTAAGGAAGATGTTCTCTGTACCACCAAGGGCCCACTTTAGTTATGTCTACACAATAGCCATTAGATGGGAAAACAAAACAAAAACAAAACTTACCTGTCAACTTCACTGCTTGTTGGCCGAGCTACCTTGGCTCCTGAAGACCCTAAAGTGTAATTTTCCTGTCCTACAGAACCATGGCCTGTGGTATCAATCACCATGGCTGTGACTTCCTCTGCACTACTCCCATCTTCTCCAGAAGGCTGATTCTCAGGCCCAAGCCACTCCTCCAGATTTTCAGTTTTAATGTGTACTGCTCCAAGAACCCTAACTTCATCATCACTCCGACCCCCCCGGTCTGCTACTCCTGTCTCCACATACCATTGTCCTGCACGGTTGATCCGAAGAATGGGCTCCCGGCTCTCTACATCAGAACTCTGTTCGATTATTTGAGGGCTGGTGGACTCCTCAGGAGGACTTAGCTCTCTGATATCCAGCACAGCACTAACCTGACCTCGCCGATTTCCCTTTGGGGTATTGTGTCGTGGGCTAAGGGAGCGGTTGAGATTTGGTGTAACCCTGTGAGACTCTGGAGGTCTCTCTTGATGCTTTGTCCTTGTTTGACTTAATTCTGCTTCAACCTCAGCCACATTAATTTTGAAATGAATGCCCTCTAGGATCTGTGTACATTTGTCTATAATGTGCTGCATCTGCAGAAAACTGGCAGCTGTTAGGTAGCTGATGATATCTGCCAGTTGCAGGCATATCCGCCCTGTATAACAGAAAGAAAGGAGCTGTTCAAAAACAGAAGGGTTCTTGATGACTGAAATGGAGACAGTACTCATCTCATTCAAGGACATGTGATCCCGGAAATAGGGGGAGCTGGCAGCCAGTACCACTTTGTGAGCCCGAAAAGCTTGTCCTTGCACATTGACCACAATATCACAGAGACGGCCCTGCATGCGCAGTTGGTTTAGATGGCTCAGGACAGAGTTGCTGAAGTCAGGGATCTCCAACTGTATGTTCCCACCTTTCTCCATGGTCGTGCCTGAGGGTGCAGGTAAGCATTCAACCCTGCTAAAAGAAAAAAACATATTCTCATTAATAATTATAATTTTACTGCCCAATGCTTTGCAGTTCAAACATATTTTAAAATATTATTTGGTAAAGTTTCAAAATCTCCAAGTAAAAAGACACACTTTCCTTATCTTTAGATGTGGAAATAGAATTACCAACAGGTTTTTAGTCTAGGTTTCACAGGAGGATACATACAGTTAAAACTAAAAAGTGATCTTTTTTTTTTTAAGTGTTAGCCATAAAGTATTTGCAGGCTATAAAATTCTGTAACAACTTTACAACTTTTCTCTACAGGAGGAAAGGAATACGCTTTTTGAATAAATGTAATTCTACACAGATGGCTTGATTAAATATTCCTCTTCTTAATATTTTACTACATACTGCATGAGTTATGCTTATAAAGTGACTAATATCCCACATGAATGTAGGCCAATACTTCTAAGCTTCAGAGCCAGAGCCTCCACAAAAAGGCTTTGGGTATAGGACTTGGGAGGCCAACAGGTTAACAAAAATTCAACAGCTGTGTCAGGACTCAATCAAGATGTAGAGAACCTGAAGTTCAGTTCTCAGAATTAGGAAAAGTTACATATATCTGCCTCCACCCAAATTTGAGGTGGGAAATTTCAGGGTGGTGATGATAGTTTGATTCTGAAATTTAGTTCTCCAGAGGTGGTAAAAAAAAAAAATGGAGCATTTACCAAGTATGGCCAGAATTTTCTCATTAAAATATTTTTAAAAAATAGCTGAAACACTAAGGCTAAGAAGTCTGTACAAATTATAGCAGGAAGACACTGACTTGAGCCCAGTGCGCATCCACTTAACCATGAACTTACAGGATACTACATATTTATATAAGACCTGAAACTTGAACTTATCCTGACAAGCTCACAGTATTGCCTCGCATTTACAACACACTTATCAGTAAATAGGGAAGTGTATACACTGCTTTCAAGAACCAACTTTAGCCAATCTGACCTTTTTCCAAAGCGTTATTGTTTGTTTTGAAACTTTTAATCCAATAAGAGCCTCTGTCGATGCCATCATGAATTCAGATGTTTATTTTGGAGCCTACACCAGCGCCTTTTTTGTTTGCTCTTTCCGGCAATTCCCCAGTGAGGAGGAAGCCCCAGCAGTAAAGTCTTTCTCTACCGTCGGCTGTAAGAGGGAGAATCGGGAACGGCATGGGGTTGGCCACTCCGGTACTTGAGCAGCTTTCGTCTGCGTTAGGAAGCATGGGGAGATGCGAACTGGCTGAAGGGCGAAATGTCACTGAGGAACTCTGAAGAGGGGAGCAAGGCGTCGGGCCGGGGAGGGCGTGCTCAGGTGAGGGCAAAGGATTAGGAAGGGGGCGGCGCCCCGGGACCCGGTCCAGGCGGCAGGCGTCGGCGGGCGGAGAGCTGCCCCGAGGTGGGTGTGTATGGCTGGGTGTGTCCCGGCGGCGGTGGGGGAGGGGGCCGCCCATCCGGGGGTCCTGAGGGAGGGGCCCGCGAGGGGGCGGGTCCTGCAGCTCTGCCCAGCCGCGGGCCGAGGGGGCAGAAGGTCGCCGGGTGCCTCCAGGCGGGGTGAAGGGAAGTGGCTGAGAGCCCCAGAAGCGGACTGCGGAGGAGACGGGGCGAGAGGGCCCCGGTGCAGGGCACCGGGACCGGGGTGCGGGGCCCGAGCCCAGTCAAGGAGCAGCACCTACCTCCGGGGGTGGAAATGGGCCGGAATGGGCCGGAACACCGTCCCGGAAGTGAAACCCCCCACCCCCTCCCCCAGAGCGGGCGACGTGCCGGAAGGAAATCACTCACTCTTACACCACCCCCCTTTCCCCTCCCCCCAGCGCTTTCCCTGCCTCGCGCCCCCTCCCCTCTCTGCTCTTCCTCCTCTATTGGGAGGAGGGCGGGAGCTCTGCGTCACCCGGGCAGTCTTGTCTCCGCCCGCAATGGCCAGGTGGGGCGGGGCAAAGGGGCGGGCTTAGAGGGCGGGAGGAGGTGGGCCTGGAGGAGGAGGTGGAGATTGAGGGAGGAGAAAGGGAGGGGCTGAAGCTGACGCTGGCGCGACGGTGCGTCATGACGTCATCAAATAACCTTTATATAAGACAGCTCGGGCGCCATATCGTTCTTTCGAAGCTAGGCGTCTAGTTGAAGCGAGTAAGTGGCGTTTTCGGGGGTCTTAAGTAACTGGTTACAGGTTCACATCCTCGGTCTTTCGGCCTTTGTCGGGCTAAACTGGCTGGCACTTGTAGGCCGGTCGCGCGCCTTTACTGTGCCCACAAGAGGAGGATGGTGAGGGATTGCGCGTTTGGTGCAGGCGCGACCTAGAGGGTTGTTGGGGCCGAACGGCAGGCAAACCTCGGCTCGCGTTCCCTGCCTCTGATGAAGCCTGTGTTGGTAGGGACATCTGAGAATGTTGATGAATGCCAACTGCTCTGATGGCCGAACGCGAGGAGTTGACTGAGTGGGCCTTTGTGTAGGACGCGGTGGAACCACCGCCGTCGCTCGTTCTCGGGAAGACGGGTGGTTGCGTTAGTCCACGTGATTCTCCGGGTGGCTCGGTTTCCCAGTGCCGCCACTGTTTCCATCTATAGTTAACTGGGTGCAGTGCTCTCCTTTGTAACGGTAGGTGCCTCTACCTATCGTGCAGTTATGGGTGGTAAAGGTTAACTGCATGATTGGTAACAAAAACATAGCAACGTGGGAACGATGATTTTTAAATCTGCACCTAATTTTTTCCTTAGGAATGGTGGTAGGCTTGGATGCAGTGTGGCCTTTGGTGGCATGTTATCAGGTACGAATGGGGGAAAAATTTGGTGGGAAAGGTGAGATTTGCTTAAAGGTGGTCTTCATTAAGCCTGTGATGGTTTTAAGAGTAGTGGACAGAAGGGATTTCTGAAATTCTATTCTGAGGCTTTAATTTTTGGAACATTGATACTTATTTAGCTTGGCTGCAGTGAGGTTCTAACTTGAATCTTGCCTGTTTTCTAGTTCTGTGCCAAGGGAGTGATGAGAGTAGCTACGGAGGTAAGTTATTGAAACGCCAACTGAAAGGGAAGTTAGGTTGAAAGTCACCGAATGTGCCACAATGATGACAGTTTATTTGCTACTCTTGACTGCGAGAATGACGAGAATGTTAACCACCATTATCCTAACTGAGGCACACAAAATGGTGATTTGGGAAGCTTGAATGTTGTCCCTAAGTTAACAAGAAGCTGTTTCTTCCCAGGTCCTAAAGAGCAAGCCTCACTGTTGCTGTGAGCACACAGGTGAGAAACTTTTGTATAAAGAAATCAGTATTTACCCAGTACTTCTTACTTTCTTTTGGGATTAAGAAAAATAGCCACAATGATACTGATGTTTCTGTATTAGTTTTTCACTGTTATTTTCAAATGTGAACTGCTATTACTTTGATACTAAATTTAATGCTGTGGGAAACCTGAGGAAACAGATACTATGATGGTTGCATAGTTCAGCAGATTGAATCATGAAGAGATTTACCATTTGTCTGATGTATCTGGTGGTTAGGGTTTGCTAACATTGTGAGTACTGCCACCTTTAAAATCTATTTCTCATTTATTTTGTATTTAAAATCTATTTTGTAGGCACTGAAAAGAAAGCTGGAGGATGAAATGGTAAGTAAAATTATAATCCAAGTATGCATAGGTAACTGGGCACAAGTAGCTTTTTAAGAGTTAACATTCTTAATGTTTGAGTAACTGAGATCCTTGTCCTGTTACCATCAGTACGGTAAACACGGTCAGAATTTATAAATGCTGCCTGGATGATGATAAAGCAAATACTGACTGAACATGACGGTCTTAATTAGCTCTAACTGATTTCAGGCCATTTTTAATCTTGGGAGGAGAAAATGTGTGTGTAACTATACTAAAACCACTTTTTTTTTTAGATGGAGTCCAACTTGTTTATACCAGCTTTATATTTTTGGTAAGTATTAATGGAAAACAATAACTTAAAGACTTACAGTGCTAAGTGATGGGCTTAATGCTGAGCAAGTGGCTAATTAAGAGTTATAAGCTTACATTTGACTAATGAATGCTGACTTTGTTTTCTTTGCATGCTCCCTAACAGGGTTTTTGTAATGATGTTGATCAAATGTCTGACCTGAAATGAGCATGTAGACATATTTAACACTGAAGAACCCTGTAACAAACTGCTCTGAAGAGAGTTTAATAATATATAGCATTCTAAAGAAGGTTCTCACTTTTTTCTCCTGTAGCTACTGGTTACACATTTTTTTCCATGGACAGCTTGCTTGGGTAAGAACATAAAGACAATCCCTGGCATTTCTGAAATGTGATCTTAACTACTTGTGTTAGTGTGTTCACTTGTGGTAAAAAGCCAATGGATCTGGGAGGCCGAGGCAGGAGGATTGCTTGAGACCAGCCTGAGCAAGAGTGAGACCCCATCTCTACTATAAGCTACTTGGGAGGCTGAGGCAGGAGGATCACTTGAGCCCAGGAGTTTGAGGTTGCTGTGAGCTAGGATGACTCCACTCCATAGCACTCTAGCAGGGGCACCAAAGTAAGACAATGTCTCAAACCCAATGGACAAAATTCTGAAAAGAGAATGGTGTCAAATTACTACGTTAAAAAGTTTAGTGAAAGTTTTAAATAAATTTTTAGAAAAGTAAATGTATGAATACTTTATAAAGTAAATGGTCTTCAAGTTTAGGAAATAGCATCTAAAGCAATACTTATTTCAGGTGAAGACTTAAAATATAGGACTGACTTTTTAAGAGGCAAGGTCTCCCTTTTTTTTGCAGGCTGAATGATCCTGCCACAGTCTCCTGAGTAGCTGGGACTGCAGGCATGCGTCACCAGGTCCAGCTAGAACCTTTCAAGGTGTGTATTTTATTTGTCTTACATGTTTATTTAGCAAGATGCTGTTAGTGATGATTTTCAAAGTAACAACAGATGGGAATCTCTCTGAAAGAGAATGAAGGTTAATTTGGAACTGAAACAGTAATTGGAAATTTTTTAGACATCTCCCTATAAGTACCTATTGCTAAATTAAAATAAATTTCCACAGGTATGAAGAGTAAGCTTGACAGCAGTGCATGGAGCAAGTTTTCAGAAGAGGTATTGGAATCTCACTATGGGTTTTGTTAAGTGGTCTAAAGCCGATACAATGATGATAACATAGTTCAGCAGACTAACACTGATGAGCAGTATTAAGTCTTTCGCTCCTATCTGATGTATCTGGCTGTAATAGTTCCAGTTTATACCCTTTGAAAAGTGAAATTGTAGCTACTTAACTATCCCATAGCAAATGTTTAGGGGGTTTGGATTAATCTGGATTGGAGTGACAGCAGTTTTAAAAAGTTAAGGTGTGACTTTAAAGGAATAATGAGTGGAGCCAAATTGAAATGGAATTGTTTTTCATGTTCAAACAGGCAGACCTTCTATTCTAAAAACTTCTAGGTAAGTCAGTTTTTGGTACATAAGTTTAACTTGGAATGTAACCAATGATGTAATGATTCTGCCAAATGAAATAGAATGATATCACTTAAAAACCGTTCCATTTTGTTCTGAGGTTACTGTATTAACAGATAGTACACAGAAATTTTTTTGCCATGATTAATAGGTAATCTTTGCTTTTCAGGGATTTCATATGACCACAGCAAAGCAGCATGCAGCTTACCCTTCAAAAGGTGAGGATTGAAAATAATAGTACAATCATTATTCCAGAATACATGATGATCTCACTGCAACTTGAACTCTCTCACTGATTACTTGATGACAACAAAAGATCTGATATTCTGTGTTCCCCAGTTGCTATCTAAATTGAAATCCAAAAATGTGTCTGAAAGTGGTTTTTGTTGCAGGCACTTTCATGGATGCTGATGGAAAGAGTAAACAACATCTTTCAATGTAATAACTTTCTGCAAACCAGCTGGAGGAGTGATTATTCTAAATGGGATGAAAGAAGGGAAGTTAACCCAATCAAATAATGAAGGGATGTTTTAGTTGTTTGCCTGTTAATTTTAAGTTGAAATAAACACAGATCATTAAGACTCCATGGCTTTTTACTTGATTTTTGTGGACTAAGATGTTTTGAGGATGAGCCATATAGATCGCAGAATTCTTTATTAATGAAATCCCTAGATTGGTTTTGAGCCTAAAGCTTTGATCTTAAAGGCACCTTTGAAAAGGTTGTGGAGAGTGAACCAGAGACCTGAAAAACGAGAAAATCTTTGACTAGGTTGTGTTCTGTTTTCCCAGGGACTACATTTTGTCTAGAAAGTCCACCTAGTGCAGGTGTCCTCAAACTACAGGCCACATGCGGGTGTTTTTGCTCATTTTTTTCACTTTAAGATAACGCGTGCAGTGTGCATAGGAATTTGTTCATAGTTTTTTTTAAACTATAGTCTGGCCCTCTAATGGTCTGAGGGACAGTGAACTGGCCCCCTGTTTAAAAAGTTTGAGGACCCCTGACCTAGTGAAAGGAATGATGGAATTATAAAAAATCTCCATCCAAAGCCTCTTGGCAAGCCTTTATAAATATCAAAATTTGGGGGGGTGTAAGAGGTGTATATATAACTGGCTATTTAAATAAAAGGGATCTCCCTCAAAAGATCTATGTTCAAAGGGGAAGATGACCAAGAGCTCAAAATTCAACGTGAGTAAATCAGACTAGTCCTTCTGGTGAATTGCCAGGAACTTAAGTTCCTAAAGAGACCCTATGATAGCCCTGGGTTCTGGCACAGTTATTTAACTGCCTATTTAAAGATCCCTGCTTGGTTCACAATTTAGTGCTTAAGTGGTCTACAGATTTCTAAGCATTCATTTTTTTTTTTTTTTTTTGAGACAGTCTCCCTCTGGCCTGGGTTAGAGTGCTGTGGCTGTCAGCCTAGCTCACAGCAACCTCAAACTCCTGGGCTCAAGTGATTCTTTTGCTTCAGCCTGCTGAGTAGCTGGGAGTACGACTAATTATTTTGTAGAGATGAGGTCTTGCTTCTGTTAAGGCTAGTCTGAAACTTCTGAACTTAAGCAGTCCTCTCACCTTGGTCTCCCACAGTGCAAAGAATTAATCTGAGAGGACTAGTAATACTAGAAATGCTAGTCCTGTCTTGTCCAATTAACTTGAAGAAATTACTGCTACATTTTGACTTCTTAACTATGTGCCAGGCCCTGGTGGGTTTTACTTCATTCTTTTGAAGATGGCAAGTTGGGAATTATAGACATCCATTATATGAAGGAAGAAATAGGCTGCGAGGGGATTAAGAAGGTTACCTAAGGCCTCATAGGTGGTACATGGCAGAGTCAAAATATAGGATAGTACATCAGTCACATTAACAGGGTTAATACACTGAAGGATAATTATCTTGGAGGCCTGGAAGAAAGGATCAAAACTACTAAATGAAATGGTACAGGCAGAAATACTAAGTTTCATCTCTTGGTCTGAAAAGTCTCAATGGCCTACTTAGAGTTAGGGAGTAGGGCAAGAATACTGGCTTGATAGTAGATGGGGAAAGACTTGAAGTCTTTATAGGATACAAACTCAGTGATTTTCTGTTTTGTTTTGTTTTGTTTTGTTTTGAGACAGTCTGTTGCCCTGGCCAGAGTGCTGTGGCGTCAGCCTAACACTACAACCTCAAATTCCTGGGCTCAAGTGATTCCTGCCTCAGCCTCCCAAGTAGCTGGGACTACAGGCATGCAAAGCGAGACTCTGTCTCAAAAAAATTAAAAGGTGGAGGGACAAGAGAAGCAAGCCCTCATGGTCTAATTGCCTTTTAAAAACCTTAATAAATCACATTGACAACACCTGAATTTTGGTGGGGGGGAAAATGGAAATGATCCTTTAGTTGATCCCTACCCCACCATATAAACTACAGATGGCTATTCTAGTTTAGTATTCACTAGTTGCATGTCCTGCCTAACACAAAGGATTTTCGTGTAATTACATTCTCAGACTGAAAAGCTGAGCTTCATAATTCAAAACTAGTACTTGTTTATCCTCCAAACAGCTTTTAAGATAGATAAGCTAGTTTTTTTCATCTTTCACAAAGCTGTAGGTTTAGTTATTTTAAAGGATCTTCATAATCTTGAAAATCCCGGGGTTTGGAAACAATATATTTTATGCTGCTTTTGTCTCATTACAGATGTAAAGCTAGGGACATGCTGGCATTCTGTGCTGGGTAGAGGATAAAGCTGAAACTGGACCCAATTTTCTTCAAGTGATCTATTAGTCCAAAGCCATCTCTTTAAGTTTTATTTCAGTAACCCTACCAAGCATTAAAAAAGCCATCTCTTAAAAATCCTGAAAGGTTAATGCTTGCTAAGAATTAAGCTACATCAGCAAGAAGCTGCCAACATCTGAGGGAGTACCCACTTCCCTATTGGTTAGGTTGCTCTCAGGGCCTCTTCTCTGCACAGGTTTATCTAAGGAAGCCGAGAGACTGAAGAAATGGACTAACAAATCTAGTTTCTCACAAAGAAACATTTAATAAGGACCTAACAAACAGAAGCTATGGTTTGGGCAGCGGTGAGGCAATTCGAGATGGTGGGTCCTGTGCCATTGCCCCATAGACCCAGGGTTTACATACCATAAGGAAGGAGTGGGCAGGACAATTGAAGTCAACCCCTCAAGGAGAGATAAGAATGCTATGTGAATCTGCCTAAGGGCAAGATTTATGGTCAAGGTTGCTAGTTCTGATGTAAGGACAGGATTTAAGGTAAGAGTAGATAAAGTAGAGATTTTAGAGGCATTCTCCAAATGGGTTAATCGGAAATCAACATGGCAGATCAGCATCCAAGATGAGGTTGCTTTAGCCTCCACAAATACACAGCATATCAGTGAGGTAAGTGCTACACAGGAGAAATAAAGCAGGGAAAGGGGTAGAGAGTGCTGGTGAAAAGTGGGGGCTCACTCTTTTTTTCTTGAGACAGAGTCTCACTCTGTTGCCTGGGCTGGAGTGCCCTGGTGTCGGCCTAGTGCATAGCAACCTCAAACTCCTGGGCTCAGTGGTCCTTCTGCCTCAGCCTCCCGAGTAGCTAGGACTACAGGCATGCACCACCATGCCTGGCTAACTTTTTTTTCCTATATATTTTTAGTTTCCTATATATTTTAATTTCTATTTTTTGTAGAGACAGGGTCTCGCTCTTGATCAGGCTGGTCTCAAACTTCTGACCTTGAGTGATCCACCCGCCTCGGCCTCCCAGAGTGCTACAATTACAGGTGTGAGCCACCATGGCCAGCCTAGGGGCTCACTCTTAAAAGGGGCACTTGAGCAAAGACTTGAGGATATTGGGGAGTAAATGCAACTGTCTGGAGAAAAATTGCAAGGGAAGAGGTTGGGCAACAGCTTGGGCATGAGATCATTCCTGGTGAACACAAGGAAAAACAAGGACTTCAATGTGGATGGAGCAAAGGGAGCAAGGAAAGTAGGAAAAGATGGCCAATAGGTAGCAAGTGGCAGGTCATGGAGGGCTTTGTAGGCACTGTAAGAAGTCTGGCTTTTCTCTGAGAAGGGAAACCACTGGAGGGTTTTGAGCAGAGAAGAGTGATATGATCTGACCCTCGCTGACAGAATACTGAGGGGCAAGGATGTAAGCAAGAGCATTAGGAAGCTTTTGCTGTAATGTAGCCAGGAGAAGATGGTCACCTGGACCAGAGTGGTAGCCATGGAGGAATGAAAAACTGCTCAATGCTGGATGTATTTTGAAGGTAGAGCTGACATGTGTTTGTTCAGCTTTATTCTGAGACAAATTTCTCCAGCTTTGCTTTCTTGAACTGACCGTAAAACTGAGGGCTGTGACATGTTTACAAGGTGACTTTGGAATAATGTCTGGGAAAAGGCATGTTACATGCTAACAACAGCTACTTTTTTGTGATACTTCATGTATGTCTGGAATTGCACTAGGTGCTTTTATATGTGACATCGTATCTGGTCACAGCGCTGAGTAAAGAACCTGAGACATTGTGTAAGGTGGAGGAGGAAGATATTTCTTACTGTTTCCAATCTCGTGTCATTTTGAGGCTAATGCAATATGGCCTTATTCATTATTAGGGTGTAGGTATTAGGTAGCATGGTGGAAAAGATAGACACCTTTCACATACAAATGGCAAAATAATGTTTTTGATAACAGTGACAGAAAGGTTCTTTAAAAAAATGTACTGTGAAGGTAATTCAAAATTTTTCATATCTGAATTTACTCTGATCTTGCTGCCTTTCTTCCAGGCAGTGAATCTAACACTCTGACTGGTCAAATTGAGAACAATTAATGACAGGTGTAGCAAAGAGGCTTCCACTGTTAATTTACTATATAATGTCACACAAACTGGAATTATAAGCCATGGATTCTAGACTTTACTTCTAAACAACTGTACTTCTAAACAACAGGGCAAGAGATTTAAAATTTGTATAATATATCCACCAAATATTCACCATCTCAGTAATTGAGTTTTCATATATAAAAGTTTTCATATATACAATTGAGTTTTCATATATACAACAAATTGGGCTCTCCAATTTGTTCTGCTGATCAACTCGTTTGTTGCTGTATCAATACTATGTTAATTGCTTGCTATAGTTTTATCAAACTTCTTCATAACTAGGAAAACATTCCCTCACCTTATTCTTATAACTCAGGTACAGATAGCAATGTTTGGCTACTCAAATCTTTGCTTTTCCACTGAAATTTTACAATCAGCTTGTCAAGTCCCCTTCCTACCCTCCCCCCAAAATAAATAGAAATAAAGAAGCCTGCTGGGATTTGAATTGAAATTAAATTTTTTCTCAGGCTTTAAAAATTATTTTTTACAATGTTATGGTATGGTCAACATACAGTGAACTGCATATATTTAAAGTGTATAATTTGCTGAGTTTTGACATATGTATGCATCTGTGATACATAACCACAATCAAGGTAATGAATATACCCAAAAGTTTCCTTGTGTCCTTTTGTGATCTGTTATTCTCTTCCCATTTCCACTGTCCCTAGGCAACTATTGATCTACTTTTTCAGTATAGATTATCTCATTTCTAGAATTTTACTTAAAAGGAACCATGCAGAATATATTCTTTTTTCTCTGGTGATTGGAATTGAATTTAATCTATACAACATTTTGGGAAGAATTGACATCTATATTTACCTTCCAGTCACAAATATGGTGTCTCATTTTTTGTGTTCCTTTTTTTTTGTCTTCTCTTTCTCCCTTTTTTTCTTTCCTGGTTTTCTTGTCTTTTTAAAAATCATTTTATTCTCTGTGTTGTTTTTTCTTTCTTTACTTTGGAAATTATAGATTCTAATTCTATCCTTTTAGTGGTCTAATTCTATCCTTTTAGTGGTTACTCCAAGCCCTTCAATATGAATATTTAACTTTTTTCTTTCCTTCATTCTCTCTGCTTTCCTTTCCCCTCTCCTTTCCTCTCCTCCTTTTCCCCTTTCTTCTTTTTTTAAAATACAGATAGGGGCTCAGTCTTTTGCCTGGCATAGAGTGGAGTGGCACTGAGCCCGGCTAATATAGGAATACTTTAAATCAAATGCTGAGCTTGGAAAGTGTACAAACTTCTGCAAGTGCCAGCTTTGGGGCTGCTGTTACTTCTCAGAACATATTCTCCTCATCACCTTATCATCATCCTTTACTGAGGTTTCTTTTTTCAGGAGCCTCCATTTTACATGAGGATCTCTCATCTAACTTCTTGACTTATGCAGGGGGAGTAGGCTTTGCTCTAGTTCCCCCACAGAACCCATCATAACCAAAGTCCCAGGTCACACTGGATCAGCACTGCCCCGGGACACCAACAGCTTCAGCACTCGCAAGTGTTTTGGGGTCATTTTTTACTTCTTAGGTACTCCCTTACTTTCTAACCTCAAGCTATCCTCCCACCTCAGCCTCCTAGAGCACTAGGATTACAGGCATGAGCCACCACACCAGGCCTAAGTCAGTAGTCTTAAATACAGAAGACTTAGATGTGCATTTACTGCATGACTTACTGCATATGTAAGTTGCATATACTGTTATACAGACAACCCCACTTAATACTCTTATTGTATACTTGGTTAACTCTCATGAAGTAACTCACTTTCATGAAATAAGAAAAAAGTATCCTTAAGGCAGCATCCTTAGGATGGTGAATTATGCTTAACAAAAAGTCAGCAGAAAGGAATGTGGTCAGTGTCATAGATAGTTCTGATTCCTCAGAGAAGGGAACTCTGGTAGAAGACAGAGTAGCTGTGTAGATCCATCATTTTATTCAGTTAAAGCCCAAGAGCATAAAACACCCCCTGACACATCTCTTCCCAAGGAGAAATTCTTCATAGGACAGAGCTCTCCTGAAGCTCATAATGACCCTTTCTGTTGTACCTGGCAATTGCTTACCTTGTTTTTAAAACTTGCAACAATCCCCTAGGAGGTTCAAAAGACAGTATTTGAAATAAACTTGCTTTCAGTTTACAATTTGTGCATTCCCAAATCCTGGTTGTTTTCAACTTCATCAGTAACGATTTCTTTAATTTTTGTGAAAATGTTTAATTTTAAATTTCATCCCACCTACAGAATGGGTAGCAGAAGAAACCAAAAAACAGAAGAAAAAAAAATTAATCCCTCACTCCCCTCACTGATAGAAGTCTTAAATGGTGACATTTTCCTGGATTTCAGAATAAGCATTTTTTCTTCATCACAGGTCTGAAGAAAAGCTGACTAATACCCAAAGTGACTAGATCTGTGAGATGTTAAGATAAGGATACTTTCACTCCTGGGGACCTATGGCCTTTGGTATTTGCAGCTTAAAAAATATTCTCTGAATTTTGGGTGTCTTTTTTTTTTTTTTTTTTTGTTCACAGCAACCTCAAACTCCTGGGCTCAAGCGATCCTGCCTCAGCCTCCCGAGTAGCTGGGACTACAGGCATGTGCCACTCTGCCCGGCTAAGTTTTTCTCTCTATATTTTAATTGGCTAATTAATTTCTTTCTATTTTTAGTAGAGACAGTGTCTCACTCTTGCTCAAGCTGGTCTCGAACTCCTGAGCTCAAATGATCTGCCAGCCTCGGCCTCCCAGAGTGCTATGATTACAGGCATGAGCCACCGTACCTGGCCTGGATTTTGGATGTCATAATTTTATAAGTCTCAATCTAGGGTAGAAAGATAATACTTTGGTCAGAATTAGGTTCTAAATAATGAATCATGAATTTATTATTTAGAAATTAGGTAACACCCATGTGGTATAGATAGACGTAAAATTCTATTTTCCTACCCAGTAAAGGGCATCTCTAGAAATTCTCTTCACTGAGAAAGGGCAGGCAGAGTTGGACACCCTGTCTCACCCCAAGAACCCTGCCAGCAAGGACTCTGGCTGCCCAGTATACCACAAACAAGGGAGAGATTAGGTAAAAGGGCAAATTTAGGGAAAAGCTCCACCTAATGGCAAACCAGCTTCCTGCAGTAGGGAATACTCTTTTTTGTTTGTTTCGGCATATTATGGGGTACAAATTTTAAAGTTTCAAAAAAATGCCCTTTCCCCCCTCCCCCTACAAGTCTGAGTTTCCAGCATGACCATCCCCCAGATACACATCTCACTCATGTATGTATATACCCGCCCCCCTCCCCCCTGCCCAATACCCTATTACTGTAGTTCCTATGTGTCCACTTAGGTGCTGCTCAGTTAGTACCAGTTGGGAATACTCTCTTCTTAGCCTATTAAGTGTCACAAATTAGACCTGAAGGTGAATCTTGTTTTTAAATAGAAAAAGATTATATTTAATAGTATCATATTGCTTAGAGCATTGAGAAAAACAGAAAGGGATATAAAACTTATACTTAGTATTTATAAATTACAAATCAAAAGAATATCAAGGTAAAAGTGAAGCTCAAGTAGAAAAGAACAATTTCAAAATCATTAAGATCTTGTTCCTATTTTATCATAGTTTTTATTTGTATCATTAGAATTTATAAGAAATCACAATGAGCTTCCATATTGTCTTTCTTTTTGAGACAGTGTCTCACTCCATTGCCTGGGCTAGAGTGCCTTGGCGTTAGCCTAGCTCACAGCAACCGCAAACTCCTGGGCTCAAGCAATCCTTCTGCCTCAGCCTCCCGAGTAGCTGGGACTACAGGCGCACGCCACCATGCCTGGCTAATTTTTTTTCATATATATATATATTCTTAGTTGTCCAGCTGATTTCTTTCTATTTTTTTAGTAGAGACGGGGTCTCACTCTTGCTCAGGCTGGTCTTGAACTCCTGAGCTCAAACAATCCACCCGCCTTGGCCTCCCAGAGTGCTAGGATTACAGGCGTGAGCCATCACGCCTGGCCCCGTGTTGTCTTTTTTATACATTTGAGGTTGGTCTAAGGTCAATTATTATTTTCTTTCTTTTTTTGAGACAGAGTCTCCCTCTGTTGCCCAGGCTAGAGTTGCTGTGGTGTCAGCCTAGCTCATTGCAACCTTCAACTCCTGTGCTCAAGCAATCCTCCTGCCTCAGCCTCCCATGTCTGACTCATTTTTTCTTCTTCTATTTTTAATTGCTCTGCTAATTTTTTTCTATTTTTAGTAGAGATGGGGTCTGGCTGTTGCTCAGGTTGGTTTAGAAGTCCTGACCTCAGGCAATCCTCCCACCTTGGCCTCCCAGAGTGCTAGGATTATAGGTATGAGCCACTGCGCCTGGCCTTTTTTTTTTTTTTAAGATACTGGGTCTCATATTGTCACTCAGGCTGGAGTACGGTGGTTCAATTATAGCTCACTGCAGACTCAGCCTCCCCAAGTGCTGGGATTGTAGGCGTGAGCCACTGAGCCTGGTCAGTATTTGCAGTCACTTAAGATTGAGAGAAAATATTCAGGGATTAATTATTATCTTTAAAAATGGAAATATAAACAATACTGATTCATAAAACTACTGTTCTTCTTTTAGTACAGACATAAGTTTTGTTTGACCTTAAACTATAAATATATAGAGATATCTGTATCTGTTTATGGATAGATAATATCATCATCTTATATTTGTATAATCCTTTACAGTTTTTCAAAGCATTTTCATTCATATTATCTTCCACATACATTATCTCCTTTGATTCTGACAACAAGAGCCCTGTGAGGTAGCCAGAGCAAATACTGTTTGCATTTTACATAAGCAGGAAGGGAGGCTGAAAGAGGTCTATGTAACTTGTTCAAGGTGAAACAATGAATAAGATTTTGTGACTCTGATTTCAATGATGTTTTTGCATTATATTATGCTACTTCTCACTATATTATGTTGCCAGTTGAAATGTCACCATAAAAACCTTAATTTATATGATTCTCTTGATGAGGCTGATAAACGGACCCTCCGTCAACTGACTCAGTCTACAGGGACAAGCATTCTCCCACATTTTAGACATGATTTGTTACCTTTGTCCTAAGTGAATATTCTATCTGGATATGAAAAACATGATTAAAAAACAAAAATCCAGTATAACATTCCAACAAGGAGCTATCTTTCACATCTCTCCAAGTAAAAAAGTGTCAACTAAAAATAATCTTAATGATGCATGTGATCAAGTCAAAATTGGGTATCTTCTGTGTCTTCATTGTGGTGAAGAATGTTACCTTGATTCCTTCCACCTACAGAGAGGATTGTCAGATCTGTGGCAGAACTCTGCATCTGATTTTAGCCTTGGGGAAGCAAAGAAGACAAAACTCAAAAGCTCAACTTTTTGGATTGTGATGGTGATTCAATGAACTCTTTTCTGCTTCTGAGTCTGTTGGCCAGGAGACCTGGATATGATAAGGCTTCAGTTCTTCAGGAGGGACAGAATCTGGGGCTCTGCTCATAAGGTCATGTCCTCGGAAGGATTTTGGGAAGGCTATGACATCTCTGATACTTGGAGCTCCAGTGACGAGGCATATCAGTCTGTCTAACCCTGTGAATAAAATACAAAGAAAGCAGATGAGAAATGTAGTCTAGTGTTGAAAATTCCTTAGTTTTTCTATAAAAGTTGCAGAGAACTTTTAAGTAAGAATCTTTTTTTTTTTTGTAGAGATAGTCTCACTCTTGCTCAGGCTGGTATTCAACTCTTGGCCTCTAGCAATCCTCCTACCTTGGCCTCCTGAAGTGCTAGGATTACAGGCATGAGCTACTGCGCCCAGCTGTAAATAAAAATCTTTAAGAAGCTATAGCCAACCATGCTTTCCTGCCTTTTGTTTTTGAGACAGAATCTTGCTCTGTTGCCCCAGCTAGAATGCAATGGCATGATCATAGCTCACTGCAACCTCAAACTCCTGGGCTCAAGCAACCCTCCTGCCTTAGCCTCCCAAGTAGCTGGGACTACAGGAGTGTGCCACCACACTCAGGTAATTTTTCTGTTTTTAGTACAGTTGGGGTCTCACTGTTGCTCAGGATGGTCTTGAACTCCTGAATTTAAGTGATCCTCCTGCCTCGGCCTCCAGAGTGCTAGGATTATAGATAGGCATGAGCCACCACTACCAGCTAGTTCCCTGCCTTTTTAGAGAACTTTTGTTTGTTTGAGAGGTTCTTTTCTATATCAGTCTGGAAAAGTATTCAGGACTAGTGGTCTCATGCTACTAGGATTACTAGGGAACTGTAATTGTCACAGCAATTAGCAAGTTCCTAGCAAGGGCTTACTTAAAGCTCAATACAGGTTGAACGATATACTAGGTGCTCTGCAGGGAACTCCAAAAACACTGAGGGAACCCCCTATTGTTGAGGGCCTTACAATCTAGGTGAGGTTCCTAGAATTTCTCACTTTTCTTTACTTGATAAAACAAGCAAAGTGGTGAGGGTCAGTGGCTCATGCCTGTAATCCTAGCACTTTGGGAGGCTAAGGCAGGAGGATCCCTGAGGCCAGGAGTTCGAGATCAGTCTGAGTAATAGCAAGACCCCATCTCTAAAAAAGATAAAAAATATTAGCTGGGAAAAAATAAATAAAACAGAGACTTAAATTCTCACAGAACTTCTGAGCTCATCTCCCCCGCCTCCACTACCACAAGCTGCAAGGCCAACTTGGAGACACAGTGCTATGCGAATGCAATTTAGTTTATAAAAGGACAAGTTACTTACCTAAGGCAATTCCTCCATGAGGGGGCGCCCCATATTCTAAAGCCTGGAGCAGATGGGAGAGCAATTTCACATCTTCCTAAAATTCAAAAGATAACTGAGTTTAAATATATACTGAAGGTCTACTGAGTGCCATACACTAGGCTTAGGGAAAATAAAAGTTGATTTAAAAAAATAACATGACTTAACTAATAATAACTCATTGGGAAAAGTATAAGAAAATATCTTAAGAAGTTTACAATTTAGCAAGGGAATGCAAGTCAGATGATTATAACACGTAAAAAAATGGCTGGTGCTCAGTAAACGCAGCTATTACTGTACCGATAACACAAACAGTAAGCCCAATCAAGGAGGTAGAGCTGTGGATTCAGAAAGGCAGGATGAAAAGCAGGAAACTGTCCTGTCAGAGACCAAGAGAAGAGGACACCAGTAAGAGGGCAACATTGTTGAATGCTGCTGGGAGGTGGAGGAGCTTATAGGCTAAGAAGAGGCCCAAATGTACGTACGTGAGACTGTGTAAGGTTCATGGGACAGTATATATAGAAATGTTGAAAGTGTGTGTGCAAGTGGTTCTCCAACCAGGGAGCTGCAAACAGATGCCAGCCTCACTCTTAGGGCTTTTTTGGTCTGGTATGGGGCAAGGCACCAGTGAGTTTTTGTTGTTTTTAATGCTTTCCCAGTGATTTGATTCTAATGTACATCAGGGCTGAGAACCACTCGTGTTCAGGGAAGAAGCAGAAGCAATGTATTTTTACTGACTCTTTTAAAAAGTCCGACAATGAAAGGAATGAAAAAGATAGCCTGAAAACTGGTGATTGGAGGCTTTTACGTGACAGGAGAAAAGTTAACAGATTTTACAATGCCTTTAAGGCTAAAGGGAGAGTCTGACAGTTTGAACTCTCCAATCCTGCTCTCACATATAAAATTCTTCCATTCTACCTTATACCTGTTAATGTCACAAAGTGGTAATTTAGGACCATACCTCTTAGATACCTTTTCCTTCTTGAAATCTATCCTAGAGCCTTCTACAGAATCACCAACTGCAAATTCCTAGGTTTGCATCTGTACAGACTCTTCTTTTTCTTTTCTTTTTTTTTTTTTGAGACAGAGTCTCACTTGTTGTCCAGGCTAGAGTGAGTGCCGTGGCGTCAGCCTAGCTCACAGCAACCTCAAACTCCTGGGCTCAAGCAATCCTTCTGCCTCAGCCTCCCGAGTAGCTGGGACTACAGGCATGCGCCACCATGCCCAAGCTAATTTTTTCTATATATATTAGTTGACCAATTAATTTCTTTCTATTTATAGTAGAGATGGGGTCTCGCTCTTGCTCAGGTTGGTTTCAAACTCCTGAGCTCAAAGGATCCGCCCACCTTGGCCTCCCAGAGAGCTAGGATTACAGGCGTGAGCCACCACGCCCGGCCGAGACGCTTCTTTTTCTTCTTAAAATCTTAATTATCTAATTCTCTATCACCAAAATATATTCTCCACTTTAAATATAGCTAAAGTAGTATCTATTAAGTGATATAAAATCCTTTCAAACTTCTCTTTCTCGACATTATCAACATTTTCAGTACTGTATCATTTTTTGAGCAGTGTTGTGATTAGAAGCTTAGGTTAAAGAGCTGCCCTGCCTGGATTTGAATCCTGGCTCTGCTTTCCTCCATATTGTGTGACTTTGGCAAATTAAGTAATGTGCCTTAGTTTCTCATCTTTAAAATAGGCAGAATAAGGGTATCTATCTCATAAAGTATTAAATAGTTGGGAAAGGCAGGGTGGGAGAAAAAAAAGATTAAAAAAATAGTTGGGAGATTAAATTAAAAACCTGTTATTATTTTCCAAGTCCTACATTGAAGATAGAGAGATAAACTGAAGCTATTTTGTATCTAGTGAATCCTCCATTCATAATAAATGTTTAACAAATTACTCACAAATACTCTGGAAAAAAAATAAGCCCAGGTTAGAAGATGACATTTGTTACCTTTAGTAATGTTGCCAGGATGTAACGCTGTAGCTCTGCATCATGAATTCGGATAGAACCACCTCCTATCTCACTGCCATTTAAAACCAAGTCATAGTGTTGGCTACGGACCTAGAAGATTCACAGAGCCTTTATGTTAAAGAAAATTTCTGGCTTTCTGTTCTATAGGTTAAAGATGGTGTGCTACTTAGAGACAATGTATTAACTATTGGCTCAAACCCCACAATTTCTTCTGGGGCTTCCAGAACTGGGTCCTAGCCATCTTCAGACTATAAAATCTGAAGTTCTTTGCTATTTTTACACATTTCCTTTTTATTTGCAAATATTTGGTGGTACCTTTTCGGGCTCAGAGCACAGGAGGTGGATGTCACTGGGGTGGGGAGCAGTAAATGGGTGGTGGGTAGACTCCAGTTCTCTGGGATTTTCCTCCTTGGGAAGGAAGAGAGGGAAATCCACTATCCAAAGGAAAGAGAACAGAGATGTGTCACGGAGGACCATTCCTCTCATTTCTAGAAGATCAGCACATTCCAGTCGTAATTTTCCCAGCAAAGAGCACTGCAAACAGAAGACACAAACATTGAGTTAACTTGTTTTTATTTTTTTTCTTTAATTTTTTTTTTGGAAACACAATATCACTCTGTTGCCTGGGCTAGAGTGCAGGCATCATTATATCTCACTGCAACCTCCCACTTCTGGGCTCGAGGGATCCTCCTGCTTCAGCCTCCCAAGTAGCTGGGACCACAGGCATGTATCACAATGCCTGGCTAACTTTTTCTATTTTTAGTAGAGGTGGGGTCTTGCTGTTGCTCAGGTTGGTCTCAAACTTATGACCTGAAGGGATCCTCCTGTCTCAGCCTCGTGAATTGCTAGGATTACAGACATGAGCCACCACACCCGGCCCCTGAGTTAACTTCTTGACAGAGGAGGCAGCAAATGACACAACCTGGATTCTGAAGCCAGGCCATTCTCTGATTAAGACATGCGATGCTCTTTGCCTCAGGAGACAAAGATCTGAGGATGATCTGACTGCAACATGGTTGAGAACAATTGTCAAACTCTGCCAACTGGGTGAGTACCTAATAATACAGTGATTAAGAGCACAGGGATCAGAGCTTCATAGACCTGGGTCTGAATCTCAGTTTGGCTACTTACTAACTTCTCTATACCCTTTTCCATAGTAAAATGGGGATAAAAATACTCCAAAAGACAGTTGTGAAGCTGAAGTGATATAAGGTACATAAGGTGCAGGACTTGACAAGGTATGTGAAGGGCAGCTGATCTGATTATTTCCTTGGGGCTCTGGAAGGGTTGTGGTGAGGATTTGATGGGTGGCTGGCATGCAGTTAATGTTCAATAAATGTTGGCTATTATTATCGGCAGTATGCATTAAAGGTTCAAAAAAGTGTGAATTTTGGAACCAGATTTAGTTAGAAATCTCCCTCTACTTCTTAGCTGTGTGAATGTGAGCAAATTTTTAACCTCTGTGACCTAGATTCTTATTTTTAAAATAGCAACAGTATAAGTACATAGGGTTGGCCCAAGGATTAAATGAGTTAATATACATTAATACAAAGAGCTTAGAACAGGATGTGTGTGGCAAATAGGAAGTACTTAGTAAGTGCTAACTATGTTGTGCAGATCTTCCCTGAGAAATGACAGTCAGAATAGTGATACACTAGTGATACACGCCTGGAGACATGAATAGGGTGTCACTTTGTGGCTCATTCTATCTTCCATTGAAATATCCCCACATAGGGCACCTTCCGTGTGCCATTTTCAGAATGCCAATGTTATTCCTCTTAAGTCTGGTTTTAGCTTTCTTTCAAGGAAGGCCCAGTAGAAATTGGAACCACCTCCCTGAGAAAGGAACACTAGCATGTTTTGTTCTACTAAGAAAACATTTAATAGCCAAATTAATTTGTAGCAGATATATAAAATCCCAAACTCTTTAAAGAAATACATTCATAATACAATTTATAATTACATAGCTTTCTTCACTTTCTTATTACAGGGGAATGGAAAGACAGTGGAATACATTTAGCTTTGAAGCTGAACTCTGAAACTTTTCCTTTGGAAAAAACAATGATAAGTAAGTACAAATATAAATAAGAAGAATGGACTTGATAAAGTATTAATTAGACACTATTATTTTTAAAAACTATATACTAAAGTGAAGGAATGAATTTATATCATGCTTGATTTCTACAGAATATTTTCAATATTCATGGTTTTTTTTTTTGCTAAACAAAAAGGAGACTCTGTCTCCTTTTCAGAGACAGAGTCTCCCTCTGTCGCCCTGGGTGGAGTACAGTGGCATCATCATAGCTCACTGCAACCTCCAACTCTTGGGCTGAAGTGATCCTCCTGCTTTAGCCTCCCAAGTAGCGACTACAGGCGGCTGCCACCACGCCCGGCTAATTTTTAATTTTTTTTTGTAGAGATGGGTTCTCACTATTGCTCAGGCTGGTCTTAAAAACTCCTGAGTTTAAGTGATTCTCTTGCCTCAGCTTCCAAGAGTGCTAGGATTACAGGTGTAAGCCACTGTGCCTGGCCCTTAAACATCCTATAATGCACATTAATATCATGTTTGACTTTGGTATATTTTACGAAGATCCCTAAAGCTAAATTTAGTCTTCCATATATGCCCCCTGAAGAATGGTGATTTAGCCAGTGTGCATGATAGCACTTACCTGCTACAGTTGCTGCTCTTGAGGAAAAATGGTCCCACCTTGACCAAGGGTGTCTGCCAGCCCACCAGCCACTCCAGTGGTCTGATCTGTCCCTTCACAATTTTAGGAATGCATTATGTACAAAAGTCTGAGACTACCAAATTTTGTTCATCTGTAAAACCTTGAAAATGAAATATTTTTTCATGGTCATAAAACTAATACCAATAACTACCTAAGTGGCTTTCCTAATCAGGATCAGATCTAATTTGTGTGAATAATGACAATGGAGGCTGGTAGCTGATGAAAAAACCTCTAGTTTCCATACAGTGCATTATAAAGCACTGAAAGATTTATGCAGAACAGCCCCATTATATGAGTTAACAAACAATTTCAAATATGTACTATATACATAGGAGAAGAAAGGCATCATTCATTATCAACAGTATATGTGCTTAGAGGTAATTTTCTTACTGCTTTCTTGTGCTCTCCTGCAGTTAGGAGGATCACATCTTCCTCTTGGATCTCCATTAGTCTGGTTAATTCCAATCTTTGCTCCTCCATTATAAACTTAGCAACTGGAGAATTCCAGTTTCTATTCGTTTTCAGGAATACAGGCAAGACTTCCTGTGACAAAGAAAAAGACTTACATTTTTTTTAAAAAAAGGCAGGGCTTATTTTCTTGTAGTATAAATATTTTTTGTTCCCAAAAGAGAATTTACATGAGATTACTTCTATTCCTGCCCCAAACACCTTCAAAATGACACTAAAGGAATTTAAAAATGTAATTTTACCACAATGAAAAAAAAAAGAAGAATGAAGTATTGGGAAGAGGGAGAAGTATAACCAGAGAAGAGATTCCTGCAACTTTTTGGCAGATTGTAAGTGAATAGAGTAAGGAAAGAGTAAAGCAGCAAGATGCAGGAAGCTCTGGCCTAGAGGACAATGGAGGTGGCGTCAGCATAAGAAGGAACTGATGTTACCCTACAGAATCCTGGAGAGGCTCAGGACTCTTAAGCCTTGAGTTACCAGGATGACAGCCAGGTGGTCTTGCTGTTCAGCCCAAATTAAACCTAACCATATTTACAAAGTGTCTCCAAGTACTTTGTGCTTCCAACTAGCTTTTAAGATGCCACATTCTTAAATATATGCAGAGAACCACTAACAACCACCACACACTGAAGAAACTCTGCAGTATTTACTAAAAAACAAACAAACAAAAAAACCAACCAAGATAAACATAAAAAATGGCCCTGGAGAAAAGAGAATTATTTAGGGACCAAAACAGGACTTGAATGACCTGAATCCTCAAAGGTACTCAAAAAGATTTTCTTTCAATAAAACCAGAATAAGATGAAATGAAAAGAGCTACTGGGAAATAAAAATATGACTTCTGACTTATGAAAAAAAATTCAGTGGAAGAGCTGAAGAAATCTCCTGGAAAACAGAATAAACAAGACACTGGAAATGATACAGAATAAAAAAAAAGACATATAAGTTAAGTCAAAGGGTTCAACATACAACTAATAGAAATTCCAGAGAGAGACTAGAGAAAATGATGAGGTCAAAACCAATTAGATAATAAAAGAACTTTCTACAGATAAAAGACACAGCCTTCATACTGAAAGAGCCTTTCAAGTGTGCAACACATTGAATAAAAAACTATCCAAAGCTACACAAACTGTGAAATTTCATAATATCAAGAATCAGGAGGTTGAAAGCTTCCAAAGAGAAAAAAATCAGGTCTTCTATAAAGGAATAAATTCATACAAGCATCAGACTCTCATTGGTAACAGCAGATGGAAGAAGGCAATAAAGCAATGCCTTCAATGTTCTAAGTCTGTGCAGTCTGGCCACATGCTGTGGCTATTTAAACTAAAATTAATTTAAATAAAGTAAAAAATTCAGTCCCTCAGTTGTACTAGCCTTTTCAAGCATTCAATAGCTACACTGGCTAGTGGCTACCATTAGGACAATGCAGATATAAAACATTCCCATCATTACAGAAAGTTCTATTGGATAGCACTGTTCTAAGACAATATGGCTGTCAATCCAGAATTTTATACCAAGCCACATTATTATTAAACTGTAACGTTTTGAACATAAAGGCATTTTTAGACATATAAGGACTCAGAAAACTGATCTCCCACATGCTTTCTTAGAAGTTACTTGAGTACATACTCCAGCACAAATAAGAAGGAAGAAGATCTGGGATCCAGGAAGGGTGGCTTAAATTCTAAAGAGGAATGAAGAAAAGGTCCGAAGGCAGCTGTGCAGTAGGTACAGAGTAACTAAGTGAGGTCTGTGTATGGGAGCCTCATCTCTTCGATTTTTTTAACCATGTGGTATGCATTACGTTGCTAAAAATTAATATATATAATAAAAACAATTTGAAGCCAAATCCTGTTCCTCCCTATTTGAGTTCTCCTATTTACCAAACCAAGAACAAAAAATGTCTGTCAAAACGGTGTATTTAGAATTCTAAAAAAATGGTACAAGAAGAACAAGAAATATAAGCTTTCTTTCATGCCTGCCATGCTTTCATTTAAACCTTGGGCACATGGGGGGTCTATTTATTTTCCTAACTGGATTAAAATACCTTGGTTTATTTAAAAAGGTTAGGGTTGAACTTTCACATTCTGATTAGTGGTGAATTCAACTAAGTTGAAGTCTTAGAGTTATATACCCAGGAGCAAGATTAACTTTAAGAATAAAAAGAAGAAAAGCCTGAGCAAGAGCAACACCCCATCTCTACTAAAAATAGAAAAATTAGCCAGGCATAGTGGCGCATGCCAGTAGTCCCAGCCACTTGGGAGGCTGAGGCAGGAGGATTACTTGAGACCAGGAGTTTGAGGTTGCAGTGAGCTATGATGATGCCACTGCACTCTAACCAGGGGACAGAGCGAGATCCTATCTCAAAAAAAAAAAAAAAAAAAAGGAAGAAGAAAAGTAGAAGAATGATATGAAATAATAAGACCCTCAAAACTAATGATAGAGGCCGGGCGCCGTGGCTCATGCCTGTAATTGTAGCACTCTGGGAGGCCGAGGCGTGTGGATTGCTTGAGGTCAGGAGTTCGAAACCAGTCTGAGCAAAAGCGAGACCTTGTCTCTATTATAAATAGAAAGAAATTAATTGGCCAATTAATATATATAGAAAAAATTAGCCGGGCATGGTGGCGCATGCCTGTAGTCCTAGCTACTTGGGAGGCTGAGGCAGCAGGATTGCTTGAGCCCAGGAGTTTGAGATTGCTGTGAGCTAGGCTGAAGCCATGGCACTCACTGTAGCCTGGGCAACAAAGCAAGACTGTCTCAAACAAACAAACAAAAAACTAATGATAGCTCAAGAGTTTAAGCAATTATTAGTTAAAAATATTGAATCTCCATAAGGAAAAAACCAGACTTAATTAACATATTACCTGATTAAAATGGTCAGCTGCAAATTTTTGGATGGATTCAATGTCTCTCCTTTTTAAGTATTTCTGATGAAAGAAAATAAAAGTAAACTTGTCAAGATAATACTTAGCTTCATAAACATGTTTGTGATATCAAAGGGGACATAAATATATTTTGTGTCTTTCCATTAAAATAGTGGGATGTAATAACAATTTAATTTGTCCTGCCAAATGACGAATTTTTAAAGCTTATTACAGGACTTATTTTTTCCCCTCAATCATATAAGTCTTATTGGAAATAGCTGTCATTGTATTCCAAAGAAGACCCTGTATATGTAATATGTAGGATAAGTATTCAAAATGAGTTTCTACAACTGAATTATAAAAGAAAAACAACTTTCAGATTAGTAAGAGGATTTGGAATTTGATTATTTCAGATTTCTTAAAACTTTTCACATCTTTTTCTAAATTAGATTATTTTGGATTTCTTAAAATCCTTGTAGCTTACTTTTTCTAAATTATCTCAGTGTTTTTCTAAATGAGACACTATGGTTATTATGTTACGTAACTTTAAAATGATTCTACATACATAGTTTGAAGTTTTGACGTTTTAGAGTATATTCCCCCTCCCTTTGAGAGTGTGGTGTCTTATCAGATCTGTATGTGAGAACCTGAAGTGAACCCACTCTTCCCCTGGGAATGTTACCTCAAACCTTACTAGACCACCATATGTGCATTACCTCAACTACTGGACTTCAAAAATATATACAAACTCAAGAGTTTGACAGACACTTTGACAGTGTATGCTGTGACGGGTTGCTCTCTGGCAGCTGCTTCTCTGGACTCTGAGACAAGGACCCTGTTAACCTTGGAGCTAATCTCACCCATCCACACTGGTACCATCCTCCAGCATCTAGGGACCTTACAGGTAGTCTACGTTGTGGTGGGCAAACCAGCTTCTCCTGAGAACTCCTCGTGTAAAGTTACACCTCAAACTTTAATTATTAATAGTTTTTACTTTCCACAGAGGCCTGCTTCCATTCTAATTCAGCAACTAGACTTTAATACTTTTGGAACTTATTCCCTATGTGGTTAACGTACCTTGTCTATTGAGTATATTTCCTGTGAGGCTTGTTCATGTCATTCTCCCCTGCAAGCATTGTGAACCTAAGAAAAAATTCTCCTTGTATGGCAATAAACTGTGTGACTTGTGAAATCATACTTTCATCATCTCTTTATTTCTGCCATACATAACACACTATATTCATGGGACATTTAACTAAGTATGGGAGGTAATAAAAAGGTGAAAACATGATTCACATCCCCGCACTTCTTATATCTACTCAGGGAAAAACAGACATGCTCAAAAATGGGGTAGAGACAGTATGTTATACTGAGCTCACTTGAACACATTTGTTATGTCTGGACTACTGTATGGACACCACACTATTTTCCACTGAATACATGAAGTAAATAGAAAGTAGTGAGATTGAGTTCTCTCCCTATTCCGAATATACTCATCTGCTTATGTATCCAAATGAGTACAGTCTTCCAAAATCATAATCTTCTACACAATATGTCTGGAATGCCTCTTACTAAATTACTTTCAAAGCAGGTATACTAACTACAGAAAACAGATGTGTCTCATTGCTTTAGAGTCAATGCTTGCTCAGCTCAGCCATTCTCTCTCTTTTCTACCCCCACTTACTTCTTTTCCTTTTTGCTTTTTTAGTTCTACCCTTCTTCCCCTGTTACTAATGCAGTTGAGAAGAGAACCCTCAAAAGACCAAGAATCAACATGCAGTGCCTATGCTGGAACTCATGTGGAGTCGAGAGCTTTTGGACAAATTGAGTCTGGAGACAGAATACTATTATTTTATGCTCATAAAATATTCATGATGAAATGATCCCAAATGAAGTATATGAGTACTTTATAGCATTGTTTAAAAGGTTAAAAAAGCCCTAGATCTTAAATATAAACTGATACTCAAAGTTTTATTGTTTTATACTTAGAGTTTTAGGGACACTTTTAGACTTTATATAAAAATATATTATTATTTAGAGGTAAGTGTCTTTCTGAAGTTTAAATGTGCCAGTGTTGAACACATTTACTTGTCAAGCATATATTCTATTTTTTTAATTTTTAAAATCTGAAATTTCTTTCTTTTTTTTTTGAGATCATATATATATATATTTATTTAGGCACATTATGGGGGTACAAATGTTTAGGTTATGTGTGTTGCCTCCCCCCCTATTTTTTTTTTTTTTGCAGCTTTAGTTTTATTTTTTATTTTTTTACTTTTATTTTAGCGTATTATGGGGGTACAAGTGTTAAGGTTACTTATATTGCCCATGCCCCCCTCGAGTAAGAGCTTCAAGCATGTCCATCCCCCAAATGCTGCACATCTTACTCATTGAAGTTGTATACACCCCTCCCCCCCTTTTTTTATAGCACTAACTAAACATGCTCATCAAGCATACATTCTAGAGAAAACACAGAATCATGCTTCACTTACTGCTCCTTCAGGGACACACATGGCTTTGATGGTTCCTTGGGGTTTACTAAGTGCATCTTGAAGAAATCTAATCTCTGTGTTCCTAAACTTATCACTGATATCTGTAATCTGGAAAATGGGTAACAAAAGGGGTAACTAAACATGAAGAAAATATTTTAGAAAGAATAGTTTTAATAACATTCAAACATTTGGTAAGTTAACATTTATAGACTGTGTTCACAGAGTGTTTACCATGGGCTGAGCACTAAGATGAGTGTTTTACACATATATATATGTAAGAATATAATCCCCATTTCAAAGATGAGAAAACTAAGGCATAGAGAAGAAAGTAACTTGTTCAAGATGACACAGCTAGTAAGTGGCAGAGCCAGAATTTAACCCAAGTACTATGACTTAATAACCACCATTCCACAAAAGGAAGAAACAAGGAGTAGTTAAGCTGGCAGCTGTAAGACAGGAGTTATGATTTTTGTGTATTACATATTTTTCATTCTAAGAACTGAACAATCACTATTCATATACCAGGCAAAATTTCTAAGGAATGTGTACTGAAAACAGCTTTACAGAGATCAAGGGATATGGCTCTCTAAGAGCAAATAATGAGAGGCCTGGTAATGAATGGCTCTATATAAGTTCTACCTTAGACCTTAACACTTATAGATACTAATAATTTGAATAAATGTTTTCATATGCTTGAGTTCTTTATAGAACAGGACAACAAATAATCTTTCCCTTCCAAGTGCCATTTTGGCTTTTAAAAAATTGAAGAGAATAGTTTTTCCTTTCAAGTTACCATTCATATAATCAATAACTTGTAAGTAATAAAAACTTTAGAGCAAGAATCTGACTTTCTGAAATGGGTCTTGGAATACAGTAGATAAGACAAGTACCTTCATTCCAAAGCGAGTATCAGGTTTATCAGTTCCATAGGTGGCCAATGCCTCAGCAAAAGTCATAGAAGGAAAAGGAACCAGCAAAGGATCTTTGTCGTTGGGCCAAGAATACTGGAGTAGACCCTCAATTAAACTCCGAATCCCAGACTGGTCTACAAAAGACATCTCTATGTCAATCTGAAACCAAAATGATATATGGAAACTAACTTGAATAGCCACAATCTATACATATTCATATATTTCTCTACTGTTAAATTATCATAGGCTTCTGCACATAAATATTTAATATGTGCAGAGGGTATAAACATTATTGTACATCTGTTTTATGTCAGGCACTGTGCTAATGCCTCTCATATATCAACTTGTTTGGTTTCCACAACTATTGCATGGCTCAGGCTCAGAGAGGCTAAGTAACCTGCCTGTGTTTGTGCAGTAAGCAGTTACGCTACATTTGATCCCAGGTCTGTCTAACTCTAAAGCTTAACGTTTTTTCACTTTATCACACTGATTAATATACTATCATACATAAACCAAATCAAAATAGCTTTGATAAGTCCACAGATTAAATATCCATATATAGAGTTTTTGGCTCTTTTTTTTTTTGAGACAGAGTCTCGCTCTGTTGCCCAGGCTAGAGTGTCATGGCATCAGTCTGGCTCACAGCAACCTCAAACTCCTGGGCTCAAGCAATCCTTCTGCCTTGGCCTCCCAAGTAGCTGGGACTACAGGCATGTGCCACCATGCCTGCTTAATTTTTTCTATTTTTGGTAGAGATGGGATCTTGCTTTTGCTCAGGCTGGTCTCAAACTCCTGAGCTCAAACGATCCGCCTGCCTTGGCCTCCCAGAGTGCTAGGATTATAGGCGTGAGCCAACATGCCAGGCTGAGTTTTTAGCTCTTTTTTTTTTTTTTTTGATATATATTTTTTATATATATATATTTTTTGAGTTTTAGCTCTTAATATACAAGAGATCTGTTTTAAGAACTTTATCATATCATGAAGATTAAAACACTGTAGAAGGGGACAGGTGCAGTGGCTCAAACCACTGTAGGAATCTCTGGCATTCCTCAGTTGATGACCATGTTCTTTACGAAAAGGACACATGAAATGGATCAAAAATTGAATATTTAGTACCACAATTACAGGTTGATTAAATATTTGACAGATAAAATGCAATGAAAAGTAATGTATATAAAATGACTACCCTGGTCTTGAAAATACTTGGCTGTAGTAAGCCTGAATGTATAAGAAACAAGTGACTATAATTTAGTACCTGAGTAAACTCTGGCTGTCTGTCTGGTTTTGAACCTTCATCTCGATAACATCGGGCAACCTGAAAATATCTACAGTTGAAAAATAGCATTAATTGAGTCATAATTTTAGGAAGACACATATGCTTTTCCCCAAAGCTTATGGTAATGTAATGCTGTGAAATACATTGATAATGATACCTAAAAACATATGAAATATTCTCATTTTTAAATGATGTTTTAATCTGATACACAGATGACCCATGAGAAGTTAACTATTCAATATTTCGTTTTCAAAATATACATTGGCACCTTTGGAATATTCATATGTTAGACTGGCATGCAAATCAGTCCATGCTTTTTTGTTTTTTTGAGGCAGAGTCTCACTCTGTTGCCCAGGCTCGAGTGCCATGGCGTCAGCCTAGCTCACAGCAACCTCAAACTCCTGGGCTCAAGCAATCCTACTGCCTCAGCCTCCCGAGTAGCTGGGACTACAGGCATGCACCACCATGCCTGGCTAATTTTTTCTATATATTTTTAGTTGGCCAATTAATTTCTTTCTTTTTTTTAGTAGAGACAGGGTCTTGCTCTTGCTCAGGCTGATTTCAAACTCTTGACCTTGAGCGATCCACCCACCTCGGCCTCCCAGAGTGCTAGGATTACAGGTATGAGCCACCGCACCTGGCCAATGCTTCTTGTTTTTATTAAAAATTTTTTTTTTCACGTCCATGCTTCTTCACGTATACTCTTTTGCTTCAGCCAAAGTGAAATACTTATTACTCCATGAATACACTTGAGCCTTCCTGTGCTATGCCATTCCAGTTCTTGTCTTCACTTGCTGAAATGCAGCTCTGTCCCTGAAGGTCTAGCTCACAAAGTGTTCTATAATATTTCACCAAATGATATAATTTCAAACTTCTTAATACTTAGTTTGTAAATATCAATACATTTATATTTTGGTTTATATCATAGTTTGTTTTATTCACTATCCTATTCTGCCTTATTGTCTCATTAACAACGTAAGAGCGGAATTTATCTTTTTTTTTTTTTTAATTCCCTGCCACATCCATTAACACAGAGCTTTTTACATGGTGACCTCCCAATAAATCTTTACCAAATGATGACTACATATTGTGAGGATATTTTGTATGTATTCTTCAAACCCTTATAAATTTTCTAACTATCTCTGTCCCTAGAGGTCTAGCTCACAAAGTTTTCTGTAATATTTCCCCAAGTGATATAATATCAAACCTATTAATACTTAGTTTGTAAATCTTAATATATTTATATTTTGGTTTATATTATAGTTGGTTTTATTCACTATCCTATTCTGCCTTACTGGTCTCATCAACTCCTGAAGAGTAGAACCTATTTTTTTTTTTTAATTTCCTGCTACATCCGTTAACATAGAGCTTTGTACATGATTGGCGGCCCAGTAAATCTTTACTTAATGATGACTACACATTGTGAGGGTATTTTGTAAGTATTCTCTAACCTCATAAATTTTCTAACTTTTTCTTAAGAGATCAGACAATTTTGTGTTTCCTATTCCCCTTTCTTTTTCCCTTTTCCTTTTCTGACAACTGCTGGCACAAAAAAAGCTTACCTGTCTAAACCACCAACCATCAGAAGCTGCTTAAACTGTTGAGGACTCTGAGGGAGAGAATAAAACTTTCCAGGTTCCCTGGATGGCACTAAAAACTCTTTGGCACCCTTTTAAAGAGAGAAAGGGAGAGGAAAGAGACATAATTAAAGAATAAAGTTCTCATAACGACAGAGATAATTTCTTGTTCATCTTTTTTTCCCTTAATGTTTACATAGTCTAATTTTATTTATTTACTTTTAATTGGTGTGTGTGTACACACACATATATACATATTTTATTTCAGAAAATTAAGGAGGTACAAATGTTTTTTATAATACTTAAGTTGTAGCTTTTAGTGTGCCCATCACCCGAATAATGTTCATTGTAGTTTTTTACCCCTCCCCTCCTCCCCCTTCCCCCTTTGCTCATCTAGTAGTCCCAAAAAAGGCTTGCATATAATAGGCTTTAAATACCACTTAAACATGATGGTATTAAATTTATGCTTGTTGAAATTAATTCCAAATCCTGTTACTACCTGAATAAATTTTTTTTTTGGAGACAGAGTCTCGCTTTGTTGCCCAGGCTAGAGTGAGTGCCATGGTGTCAGAGGTCACAGCAACCTCAAACTCCTGGGCTCAAGCAATCCTGCTGTCTCAGCCTCCGAGTAGCTGGGACTACAGGCATGCCGCCACCATGCCCGCTAATTTTTTCTATATATATATTTAGTTGGCCAATTAATTCTTTCTATTTATAGAGAACGAGGGTCTCGCTCTTGCTCAGGCTGACTCATGACTCAGCAATCCGCCGCTCCGACTCCCAGACAGCTAGGATTATAGGCGTGAGCCAGCGCGCCGGCCTACCTGAATAATTTGCACATTATTCTCCTATCCAAGTAATTCTAACTGCTTTTTAAAATTAAACTGTACTTTTATTAGTCCATATATTGGATAATAGATATCAATGTTTGCAAATGTCAGCTCTTAATAAACAAGAGATTTGTTTTTAAGAACCAATTCATTAAAGATTTGCTTCAATATGCCTCAAGGGGAAGAAACTCCTATGGAATAAATTCTGACTCAAAATACTGATCCAAATCATTTCTCAATTCTTAAGAAACCTAGTTAATGTGACCATCCTGAGGCAGTAAAAAAATAAAATAAAAGTAAGGCCGGGCGGTGGTGGCTCAACGCCTTGTATCCTAGCTCTCTGGCGAGGCCGAGGCGGGATTGCTCAAGGTCAGGAGTTCAACCAGCCTGACAAGAGCCGAGACCCGTCTCTACTATAAATGGAAAAGAAATTAATTGGCCAATGATATGTTATAAAAATTACGGGCATGTTGACGCATGCTGTAGTCCCCAGCTACTGGAGGCTGAGGCAGGAAGGACCTCGCTCGAGCCCACGGGAGTTTGACGTTGCCTGTGAGCTAGACTGACCCACGGCACTCACTCTAGCCTGGACAACAAGCGACCGTGTTCAAAAATAAAATAAATAAAAATAAAGCACCAAGTAAACATAAAGCAAGTGGTCTAGTTTTATAACTAATACAACATTATGAGTAGAATGATTGAAGGAATATACATACCCCTGGGTCCTCTTAAATAATTTGGGGTTTCGATATCCACAACCTAAAAGGAGAGAAACATTATATTTAGTAGCAGGAATATGGATTTGCAATATAATGTCTATATATAGTACAAAATCTGAGGCTCCTTTTAATTAGAAATTTTGGCTGAAATAAGTCTACTAGTATCATACTTGTTTCACATCCAAGAAGGAAGAGGAGATTTTCATAAATCATACTCTGTTCAGAAGTTGATACCTTTGACATGAAATAATTCTAAATATTTTGATGGATTCTTGTCTATTGAACTATTCTGTTTTTTAAATGTTCCGCCAGTGTAGCAAAAATAATACAAATATAGCAGGAAAAACCCAGGACTGATTGACGTGTTTAGTGTAATTCACATGACATTTTTGAGCTCCAAAAAATGATGTATAAGCATGATAAAGAATTAAAAATTTACAGAAACATGAAAGGGCTCTCCCAGCCAGGCATGGTGGCCCACGCCTGTAATCCTAGCACTTGGGGAAGCCGAGGTGGGGGATAGCTGAGGTCAGGAGTTCGGGCCAGCCTGAGCAAGAGCGAGACCTGTCTCTACTAAATAGAAAGAAATTAATTGGCCAACTGATATATCTAGAAAAAAAAAATAAGCCAGGCATGCCTGTAGTCCCAGCTACTCGGGAGGCTGAGGCAGCAAGATCGCTTGAGCCCAGGAATTTGAGGTTGCTGTGAGCTAGGCTGACACCATGGCACTCATTCTAGCCTGGGCAACAAAGTGAGACTCTGTCTCAAAAAAAAAAAAAAGAAAGGGCTCTCCTGCCTTCAATAAATGACAAGAAACACTACATACATTAAACAATGTTATTGCCATTATCATCTTTAAAAGAATGTGTGTGTGATCCAATAGGAAACTAGTTAACAAATTATGCTATAGGGCAAAAACTATACATTGAGTGAATTCCAGACTTCTGGTAACATCTGACTCAATGAGGCTAAGGGGAGGATACAATAAAACTGTTGAATAAAAGAGAAGAGATGCTAATAAGTCCCAAAGAACGCTCAGGTATCATTTCCCTTACCATGCAGATTACAGAGATATTCCCGCATTTTCATGACCATCTGGGACCTCAGTCGCAGGTTATACTGCATTTGGAAACTACGCAAGTCTAAGTAGCGATACTGTAAACGAAGAGTCTCTGTTTTCTAAATAAAGAAAAAGATTTTTATATTTAGATATTTTCTGAGTATTAGAAAGATACTATCTTTAGATACAGAGTTTGAACCTTCAAAAACTAAATTTAGGTCAGGTGGGGAGGGGTTACAAAAACAAAACAAAACAACTAACTTTAGCTCCCATCATCAAGTGGCCCACGGGTATGCTGTTTCCATTTGTGTGTATATTGCCATCCTTGAAGCCTACAAACTTTTAAGTTTATTACTAGTACAGATTTTAGATTCTTTACTACTTGTTGTTATTAACATTACCCTTCGCTGACTGAAATTTGCCTACTTTACTAAACATTTATCCATTCATTTAAGCCTATACTGGAGTCTTGAAAAAAAATTTAAAGATTTCAAAGATCTTTTAAAAAGATACACCAGACAGCCGGGCATGGTGGTGCACGCCTGTCACACCAGGAGGTGGGAGGCTGAGGTGGGAAGATGGCTTGAGCCCAGGAGTTTGAGGCCAGTCTGGCCAATGTAGCAATACCCCGTCTCTAAAAAAGATACACCAGAGTAAAAAGCAGTTATGATTTTATTACCTGAATGGGACACAGATTACAAGCAAAAGGAATGCAAGGGGATGGCAGATAGAAACTCTATGACTGTACTAGGAGGGACGCAGAAAGTTTACTTATTTTCAAGGCTGTAAATCCCTGCATCCCTATTTGTGCTGAGAACTTTAAAAAAAGAAAAAAAAAGTCCTTTCCCCTGGAATAGCTAATTTCTTTGATACTAGAAACATAAATAAGAAATATCTGTAACTTTTCTTTCTAAATGCTTATCTGGGAAAAACTGTATATTTTATTTTTCACAATAAGGTCAACTCTGTGATTATATTGCTCCTTCTAATTAAAGAATTAAGTATTGGGAACTAAAATATAAGACTAAATGGCTACATAATTAATTAAAAAATCCCTTAATCGATCAGTTTAAAATTAGGTATATGCAAGGTATATACAATTGTGACAAAGCTGAAAAACATGTGGGTGTACTTAGTGTGTCTAGCTCCATCAATCCCTCAAACTTTGGCAAAAAACATCCTAAATCACAGTAATCCTACTTACATTTATACATGTGAGAAGTAAAGAGCTGCTCTAAGCACACATTTTATCTCTGTTAGAGGCTTAAACTTAATAGGTGCAGGATCCCCTAAGCTGTTTGGCCATTTCCAAGCTAGACCTAAATTTTCTTTCAAAATATTAAACATAAACAAAAAACCTGAATAATTATAACACCTTAAGTCTTAAAAGATATAATCACATTTTGACCTTTCTGAAAAACAGTCCAGGTGTTTAGGGACTGCAACATTAACTGTTGCTATTTAAGAACAGTTCATCAAGAAATTATAGAACAGAATAATTCATGATATGTCTATAATAAAATGTTTCATTTTATAGAAGTTAAACTTTTTCTTTAAATAATTCTGAAAATACTTTATTCATCATCAACATTTTCCAGATACTCTATTTTATTAATAAAATGGGATGGTACCTTCACAAAGTCCTTAATTTCAAAGGGCAGCTTCTTGCAGGGATTCAGAAGCTTAGCTGTTTTAACTTTGATTTCAATCTCACCTGTTGGCATTTTCTTAAAGAGACAGAGAGACTTATTTTTAAAAATCACTCATCAGAACATATACAAAATGCACACTTGTGCATATATAAAAAGCACATGCATTTATTTACATATGTAAAATGCACAGGTCCTTATAGTATATAATCGAAAGCATAAATGTCTATGTATGACTTTGACATTCTTAGGTCTATCTGTGGTTGATGTGCTCAGATATCAACAAATATTAGCATGCATTTGTCAACATCAACAAATGTCTTAGCATGAGCATATTTATATAGGTACGTGCGTTTGTGGTGAAGACTATGAACTCTGTGGAACTTACTGAGCTTTAGCACCTAATGTCCAGTAGGTGCTCAGTCTAAGCTGTCTGAATGTGTACACAGACAGGGCAAATGCATATAAGTAAAATTTACAGAGACAGTTTCTAAACTACTAACTGGATTCTCTTGTCCTGGAGGTCGGGAAATGACTGTCCCAGACACTTGCACCACAGATTCCACAGGGGCTTCACATAAAATCTTCTTCACAGAGGCAGCCGACTACAGAACGAGAGTGGAAAAGAGTTCCAAGAAACAAATGAACTTATGGGCATCTTCAGTAACTGTAAGTCTATGGTTTTACAAAACATTAATATACACAGCTTAATTACCATAAATGCTGGAGCTGACCATAATGACTTTATGACAGAAGTTAGTAAATTGCATCCCTATTTTGATGCCATGTAATAAAGCAAGTAAAATTATTAGTTAAGAGCTTTCAAAAACCTTCCTTAAAGGAAAATAAGTAGAAGGATGATTGTTACTAATGCAAATAAGTCCCACATACTATTTTATTTATTTATTAATTAATTACAAAGTCTGGCTCTGTCCCCCAGGTTAGAGTGCCGTGGCATCAGCCTAGCTCACAGCAACCTCAAACTCCTAGGCTCAAGCAATCCTACTGCCTCAGCCTCTGAGTAGCTGGGACTACAGGCATGCGCCACCATGCCTGGCTAATTATATATATATATATATATATATTTTTTTTTAGTTGTCCAGATAATTTCTTTCTATTTTAGTAGAGATGGAGTTTCACTCTTGCTCAGACTGGTCTCCAACTCCTGACCTTAAGCTATCCTCCCGACATTGGTCTCCCAGAGTGCTAGGATTACAGGTGTGAGCCACCACGCCTGGCACATACTTTAAAGGCAACTGGCTCCAGGGTTAGTCTTAGGAGCAGTTAAATTCAACAGCAATAATGGGTCCAAAGTGAAAAGAGTTCTCCAGGGTTAGCTATGCTCATCTTTGGATCTTGATCCCTGAAATATAGTTCATTGTTCTTTACTTATTTCAAACACTTAAGAGCTGAGTAAATCATATTTTTCTTAGGCATATAAGTGTTTGTCAAAATTACAATAGAAACCAACATTGCCCAATTAGCATGATAGGAGTTCTTTATTTTATCTAATTTTAATAGTAATTAATTTTTTTTTTTTAAGCAGACAGGGTCTCCCTCTGTCACCCACACTGGAGTGTACTGGCATGATCACAACTCACTGCAACCTCGAACTCCTGGGCTCAAGTGATCCTCCTGCCTCAGCCTCCTGAGTAGCTGGGACTACTGGCACGTACCACCATGCATGGGTAATTTTTAAAGTTTTGTAGAGATGTGCTTTTGCTATGTTGCTGAGGCTAGTCTTGAACCCCTGGCCACAAGCAATTCTCCTGCCTCAGCTTCTCAAAATGCTGGGATTACAGATGTGAGCCACCACACCAGGCCTAAATCTAATTTTTTGACCAGGTAGTACCTTCACATGGCTTAAAATTCAAAGGGTACCAAAAGATATAGTGAAAAGTTTTCCTCCTATCATTGTCCTCAAGCCTCTGAGTTCCCCTTCCCAGAAGCACTCAATGTTACCAGACACTTAGGAATCCTTCCACAGACATTTCATAACATGTATACAAGCATACATACACACACACACACGTAATAGTATTGTTCTTCTCCTTTTTTTTTTAATACAGATAGCACTCCTACATGCTCGTATATTCAAGAATAGAGTTTTTTTGTTTTTTTTTTTTTTGGAGACATAGTCTCGTTTTGTTACCAGGCTAGAGTGATGCCGAGTAGTGAGCCTAGCTCACAGCAACCTCAAACTCCTGGGCTCAGCAATCCTACTGCCTCAGCCTCCTGAGTGGCTGGACTACAGGCATGTGCCACATGCCGGCTAATTTTATTATATATATTTTTAGTTGTCAATAATTTCTTTCTATTTTTGGTAGAGACGGGTCTCGCTCAGGCTGGTTTGAACTCCTGACCTTGAGCAATCTGCCCCTCCGCCCCACAAGAGTGCTAGGATAACAGGCTAAGCCACCGTGCCCGCTAAGAATTAGAATTTTTCATTTAACACACAACCTTGGATTTTTTCCCCTTTTAGTACAGAGCTTCTTCATTCTCTTTTGTATGGCTGAGCAAGTTCCCATTGCAAGGATGTACATTATTTTTAACCAGTCTCTTATTGAAGACATGTAGATTGTTCCCAATATTTCTCTATTAAAATAATCCTGAAATTAATATCCTTATATATATATGTCATTTTGCATCATGTAAATCTAAGTAATAAGATAATTTACAGATGGAATTAATGGTTCAAAGGATATGTGCATGTAATTTTTTTACATAGATTCTTGCTGTACCTGGGTGGCGCATCATAGCTCACTGCACTTCAAACTCCTGGGCAAATGATCCTCCTGCCTCAGCTCTCCCAAATACTGGGACTACAGGCCCACACATGAGTGAGCTATATTTTCATTTTAGTAGAGAGTGGTCCTTGCTCTGTCAGGCTGGTTTTGAACTCCTGAGCTCAAGCAGTCCTCCTGCTCAGCCTCCCAGAGTGCTAGATTATAGGAGTGAGCCACTATAGCCTGCAATTTTTTAAAAAAATGTAAAAATATCTGTTCAATGTTCTATTTTTAAATTTATATTATAAAATTTTCAGTATTCCAGCATTTATAATTTTGATATTGCTGTTCTCCATACAGCTACGCAATTTGTACTCCTCCAGAATGTACAAGCACTTGCTTTCTAAACGATGTGTTGTTAATTCTAATATTTATTGTCTTTTTTTTTCTGTTGCTATAACAGAATAATATTTAAATGTTTTATTATTTTATTATTTAGAGACAGAGTCTTGCTCTGATTGCCGGGCTAGAGTGCTGTGGCATCAGCCTACCTCACAGCAAACCTCAAACCTCTGGGCTCAACAATCCTTCCGCCTCAGCCTCCAGAAGTATGGGAGACTACAGGCACGCCCATCATGCCTGGCTAATTTTTTCTTATATATTTTTATGGCCATTCTTCTATTTTTTAGTAGAGACGGGGTCTTGCTCTTGCACAGGCTGATCGAACCTGACCTGAGCAATCCGCCCAGAGTGCTAGGATATAGGTGAAGCCACCGTGCCCGCGGCCAAAATGTTTTAAAAATCAATATTTGTAGTTTTAATTACATTTCTGTACTTAGGAGTAAGTTGGCAATTCATTTCATCTACAAGCCATGTATGTTTTCTTTTCTGTAAATTTATGTCATATCCTGGGTTCAATAATTTGCTGGGTCATTGGTATTTTTTTATTGATGTGTAGTAGCCTTTTAGATATTATAGAAATATTCCCTTGTCAATGAAACAATTTGCACATATTTTTTTCCCAGTTGTCATGTTTTAACATTGCAATACAGTATTTCAGTTTTATATAACAATAAACTTCTGTTGGCACACGTGGCTTCACACTGTAACCTAGCACCCTGGGAGGTCGAGGCGGAGAGACTGCTTGGCTCATGAGTTGAGACCAGGTGAGCAGAGCCAGACCGTCTCTACAAAAATAAGGAAGAAATTAGCTAGACAATTAAAATATATAGAAAAAATTACGAGGATGGTGGCATGCCTGTAGTCCAGCTACTTGGAAGGCTGAGGCAGAAGGATTGCTTACCCCAGGATCTGAGGTTGCGTGAGCTAGGCTGACGCCATGGCATCTAGCCTGGCAACAGAGTGAGATCTCTGACTCAAAAACAAAACAAACAAAACAATAAGCTTCTGAATTTAAAACCTCAAATATATTCATGAAACACTATGACTTACTCTAGCCATAGCATCAAAGAGCTTTTAGTAAATAGCAGGGACTTCATAATTTACCTCATCCTGGGGAATGACAACTTGATAAGCCCATGGAATCATCTTAGGAAAGGAGAATTTGCCTGATTAATGAAAAAAAAAAAAAAGAAAGAAACATTTTAAGATAAAACTGAGTTCAAATTAATAAGCAGGCAAATAAATAACAAGAACCCACACAATCCTTTCTTTTTTTTAATATATAGTACTTCATTAGTTACATTATGCAATTTTATTCTATTAGCTTACTGATGAAAAACTTTGGTTTTTTTTTTGTTGTTTTGTTTGTTTTTTTTTTGAGACAGAGTCTCACTTTTGTTGCCCAGGCTAGAGTGAGTGCCGTGGCGTCAGCCTGGCTCACAGGCACCTCAATCTCCGGGACTCAGTGATCCTACTGCCTCAGCCCTCCGAGTAGCTGGGACTACAGGCATCGCGCCACCTTGCCCGGCTAATTTTTTGTATATATATTTTTAGTTGTCTTCTCTTCTAATTTTGGTAGAGACGGCTTCGCTCAGCGCTGGTTTCGAACTCCTGACCCTTGAGACATCCGCCCTCCTCGCCTCCCAAAGTGCTAGGTTACAGGCGAAAACTTTGTTTTTATTTCAATTATTATTTACATAGCTTACTCAATCTTATAATAGATGGCTTATAAGAAGATTTTTAAAATTTAAAAATTTCATTGGCTTATGTCTTTATGATTATTATTATTATTTTAGAGACAGGGTCTTGCTTTGATGCCCAGCCTTGTCCCGAACTCCCAGGCTCAAGTGATCGTCCTGCCTCAGCCTCCTGAGTAGCTGGGATTACAGGCTTGGCCAATCATGCCCAGCTTCCATCGGCTTAGGTCTTTATAAGAAAATTTCATTAATTTTGGAAACTTTTACATAGTAAAACCAATAATGTTTTAAGATATCAGAAACGTGATCATTTTCAAAATATCATATAAGGTCTTTTCTCTTTCTAAAAAAACACACACCTAAAAAAAAATAGCCGGGGTGCGGTGGCTCACACCTGTAATCCTAGCACTCTGAGAGGCCGAGGCAGGCTGCTCGCTCAAGGTCATGAATTTGAAACCAGCCTGAGCGAGACCCCGTCTGTACTAAAAAAAAAATAAATAGAAAGAAATGAATTGGCCAACTAAAAATATAGAAAAAATTAGCCGGGCATGGTGGCGCATGCCTGTAGTCCCAGCTACTGGAGCGCTGAAGCAAGGGGATCACTTGAGCCCAGGAGTTTGAGGTTGCTGTGAGCTAGGCTGACCCCAGGTCACTCTAGCCCAGGCAACACAGTGAAGACTCTGTCTCAAAAAAATAAGTAAAAAAATTAAAAAAGATGCACCTTTGTTCCTTCTCCACTCCCACAGCTTTACCTGACCAGCCTTAAAAAAAAAAGAAGAAAAAAGAAAAAAAAAATACAATCTAAAAATTTCTGGAGAGTTCTAACTACTAATTTAATGCCTCTATCAACCACCAAAAGGCCCCAGAAATCCCAACATTTTCACACTCAACCTATATTTCTCATATTGTTCTTAGTACAAGGAAGAGGTACAGAAAGCCTCTTCAGATTTGGATTCAGGAGACAAAGCCGCCAAATTTATGGGGCAAATATCTACCCACTTGGGACCCTATTCTTTAAGAAGGTTATATAACCTATGTATTTTGGATGTCTTCCATGTGAATTAATGTACTATTCAAATATAGAGATGAACAACAAAAAAGTCAGCTCTGATCTTAAGGAATCACTATTCATATTTTTAGGCCTTTTCTCTACCTAAATTTAGAATAAAATAAGCTTTTTTTCTCCCATGCTATTGGAGCTTAATAGCTGGTTTATAGGATGCTGGCCAATTCCCAATTAGTGGTCATAAGGAACTCTTCAACTTTAGTAAGCTTGGGGTCATTTCAGTACATTGGTGGATCAAGCTTCATTGTTACGTACTTCAACAGATGTTACTAGTACCTACATACTGAGAGTGACACTCCCAGTCACTTGGATCTTTCAAAACAAAAACAAAACAGAAAATCCAAGGGATTCTGAGAATCTTGCAGCAGTTGCAAAGTGTTTTATTCTTACCAACAGTTGAAAATTTGTACAGGTTTGGAATTGCCTTGGGAAAACAACCATCATGCATTCTGAGACCATCTATCTCAAATTTACCTTCGGTACTGAATCCATCCACACAAGGTGACTTCTTGGCCTAAGTGAGAAGAACGCAATTCTCCACATGTGTTGGTCCGGGCAACAAAGCTACTGAATTCTTAGAAAAAAAAAAGGAAAGAAAAATGCTTAAAATGCCAGATTAAAAATATATAATTTGCAGACTGCTTAAAAATAGAGTCTGAAATTACAGCATCTCAGGTATTTCAGGGCAACGGGCAAAATTTCTAAAATAAGTCAGAGTATGTAATTTAATTCATTCACTTAAATTTATCTGCAAATGTGTCAAAAGCCAAGTGAATAACTAACTGAATGCAAATCTTTTGGATCTAGCCTTTGCATTGACCTAAAATACTAATAACCCAATTCTTAATAGTGCATATTTCTTCTCTAAACGAAATATAATTTTAGGAATTACAGAAGTTTGATGTTTCAGTAATTAGTATGAATCTAGTGTGTAACTGCCACTTGTACACTAGAAAACACTACTATATGTGTGAAAAACGATTTTTTAGGCTTCCTCTTAGTAGAATTAACTAAAACAGAATATCCTACGTGGTTAGGTTACCTTTTTGTGGTCTTTTTAAAGACTCAAGGAAAAAAAATGCACTATAAGGAATGAAGAGAGTGAATGATCTGCTTTTATACATAAGGTTATCCAGTTAAGAATGGGGGAAGGGAAATGCAATACAAGATCTCCGGCTCTAAAAAACAGACAGAAGTACTGTTTAGAGGACAGAGCTCTTTGCTGTTTTCACCTGGAATTCTCCTCTGTGAACTTAGTACCAGACTTCTGGAGACAGAACCCCAAATCGGCTGAGTGGTGCTTCCAAGGGGTCTGGATAAACCCCTGCATAGCTGACTTAACCAAAGGAAGTACATGTTGGAGCCACAGGATAGCGAAAGGCAATCACGAATGCCACACGTCGGCAGTCAAAAGTCAGTTTTGGAAATGCTCAAGAGATCCCTTAAAATTCTAGGAGTTCCTACTCTATTCTTCAATACTTAAGCTCCCCTCCACACAACATTCAAAAACACGTGTCTGCAAACCAGATAAATCTGCAAGGTCTTTGGGGCCCAAGAGGGAGTGGGTAAGGGAAAGGCCTTCCACCCCTCTCAATGCATCAGTTTCCACTTCTATTAAACAGGACTGCGGCCAGAACTGACGACTAGGGAACGATTCCGCAGAGCAGCGCCAGGCACGGGCCCAAGACACTCCAGAGAGAGACGGGGGTCGGCGAGAGGGGCCGGTCACCAGGCGCACACCCTTCCCTTCTTTCCACGCTTCCCCGAAGGCTCCCGCGCAGAACTGGAAAACTCGCGCAGACGAACAGCCTCGAGTTGCAAATCTCCCAGACTGGCGGCCGACCCCAGGTCTTCTGAAAGAGGAAGGCGAGCAAACCCAAAATGCTTCCAGGACTAGAAGCCACAAACAAATCGCCTCTGGAAGCCAAGCTTGCCTCAAGCCGCCCCGTTAGCGCCCAAGATTACGTGAAGTCACACGACGAATCAGAGCAGAGGCACCGCCGCCATGCTTACTACGGGCGGACCTTTGAGGGAACGCTTCGCGCCGGTAGAAAACCAGAGGAGCTACGCCACTCGATTAGGAATGTCGACCGTAATGGTTAAGTCGGTCGGCCTTGCCCTTAGTTAAAATGGCGATTTCAGTTACTCCGCTGACGCGGAATCGGCGGGGCGCCTGGGAGGCTTCCTTTGCCGCGTTGGGCCGCAGAGCGAGTCGGGAAACGATTTTTAAACTGAAAAGGCGGCTGAAGGCCGAATTGCGGTTTCTCATCGGCGTGATTTCAGACTGGCCTTGATCTCTGAAGGGCTCAGCTGAAGAAGGACGAGTTGGGACGCACTGTCGTTTTGCCCTTCCCCTTCTGCGGGCAGAAGCCAACTCCGCAAGAGCGAGATTCGCAGAGCTGAGAGGCTGGGTGAGGGGAAATGTCCGTCCCGGGCTGAAGTCGCGGGGCCGGCCTGCCTCTGGAGGAGCGGAGGTCTTCTTACTGGGCGCCTCTGTGTCCCTGGTGAACCCACTTGTGGTGAACGAGAGGGACTTTGGGAGGGCCGAGGGTTTCTCCAGCCGCTCTCTTAGCGGTCGTTTTGGCGGCTTTTTCTCCGCCCCACCCCCCGCCCCGCCTTGCCTCGCCTCGCCTCGCCTTTCAGGGGATTTCAGTCTCGACACCGTATTGGAACCAGACTTGAAGAATGGTTAGTGAATCCGGAATGGGTGACAGCGTCGTCACGGCATTTTATTAGGTAAGATGCTTTGTATTGGTCCAGGACTGGCTGTAAACTTTGCATTTTGCTCTTTTCAATACTTATGCTACGTGCTTAGCACTCAGCTAAGCATTGGCATTGGGACGGTTGGATTTAGGTACCGTGTTTCCCCGAAAATAAGACAGGGTCTTATATTTATTTTTCCTCAAGAAGACACCCTAGGGCTTATTTTCCCCTCAAAGCCTCAGCTTGCAGCACGAACAGGATGGCCGGGACCTGACAGGGAGAGCTGACCTTGGTGGGGCTGCCCGCACCTTTCCGGTCACCTCTGGGATTGTAGCTGTCACGATGGGGCAGATGAGAAGGGCTGCTCCTCTTTACCACTCTGCCAAGGGATGCATGGGTTGTGCAGATGCACTGCGTAGCCACGCCCATCACTAGGTCTTATTTTTGGGTAGGGCTTACATTGTGCATTTTGCTTAGAAATCCTGCTAGGGCTTATTTTATGGCTAGGTCTTATTTTCGGGGAAACACGGTATTGATGGCAATGTAGAAAAGTGATTAATAGACTAATCACAAGAGAAACAGCTAAGTTTTATTTGTGTGGTATGAACTACAAGTGCAAGAGGAGTTGGGCGAGAGAGCTAGCTCTATGCTTCACCTGAGGAGATGAAACCTGCAAAATGGATAAGATTTGCTCAAACGAATGGGAGTAGAGGAGTATTAACTGGCGATAAGGTGAATAAAAAGTCATGTTTGCACAAGCAAACAGGACAGGCAGGAAGAGCAGTAGGGTGATGATCAGTCTAGAGTAGGGGTTGCATGTTTGGGCATAGAGCAGTACTTCTTAACCTTTTAAAGCGTTGTCTACTGGACCTTTCTTCACTCCTCTCTCCCAAATATACAGGTATACAACGTTTTGCATACAACCTTAGAGGGATTGTATGCAAATGTTGGATTTTGGAAAGGCCATTTGTCCATGGATCTTGGGGTAAGAACTCCTGCAGTTGTAGAAAATGAACTGAGTAGGATTAGATAAAAAATCAGATGAGGCGGATTAGATAAAAAATCAGATGAGGCGGTGCCTTGAAAGCCAGATGGAAGAGTTCTGACTTGACTTCGTTTAGAAGGTGTGTGGAAATTCTTATGGGATCTCAAGCAAGGTAATTACAAGATAAAAGACTTGTCTATGGAAAGACTAATCATGGATTGAGGAAAGGAATTAAGATTGGGAACAAGATAAGTTGCTGTAATTGAGAATGAAAGTGAAGGCTGAATCTAAGAGAGCTAATATATATCTTTTTAGGAAATATGTCAGAATTTGATAATAAGGTAACTTTTTAGATGTAAAGATGAAGTTGAAGGAAGAGTAAAAGATGACTAAGGTATTTTTTAGTGGAGGAGGAATGGGAATTATTACTGAGTGAAACGGTGCAGTGGAGTATAGTAGTAAGAAAAGAAAGATTGGTTGAATAGCATGTGAAATAATGATTAGTTTTGTACTTAACGAGTTTGAGGACATGAAAGCTTAATGTCTCATGGAAAACTGGAAATGGAAATGCAGGACTGGGATGGAGGTGTAACGATCTGAAGATAGAGATTTAAGAGTTATGTAGAATGAATGTTTTCATATGTAGAACAAATAATTTCAGAATCTGGGGGAACACCCACTGCTGGGACATAAGGGAAAAAAATCCAGCACATTAATCCAAATTAAGGGGGAGAAAACCTCCCTAAAAACTGAGTGTTGGCCACTGTAGTGGCTCATGCTTGTAATCCCAGCACTTTAGGAGGCCAAGGCTGGAGAGTTGCTTGAGGCCAGGAGTTTGGGACTAGTCTAAGCAACATAGCGAGACCCCATCTCTACAAAAAATTTTAAAAAAAATTAGCTAGGTATGGTGGCCCACACCTGTAGTATCAGCTACTCTGGAGGCTGAGGCAGGAGGATCACTTGAGCCCAGGAATTCAAGGCTGCACTAAGGTATGATTACACCACTGCAGTGTAGCCTGAGTGACAGAGCACAACCCTGTCTCAAAAAAGAGTCAAAAAACCAAAACAAAACTGTCAGAAGAAACAATGAAACAATGTAGCAGAAAGTTTGGAGGAGTAAGGATGAACAAAATATTTGGCAAAAACACTGGTGATCTTCAAAAGTGCAGTTTCTTTATAGTGATAGATGCATAGGAGATGGTATCCAAGGGAGATGAGAAGGAATTTGAGATCCAGAATATTGGTACACAGATTAGCTTTAGAAAGAAAGAGGACTTCTTTCCTTATGATTGGAAGCAAGAATATTGGGACAGTAATATATATATATACATATATATATATACATATATTTTTTTTTTTTTTGGTGCCTGGCTGGGACAGTAATACATTGTGTTAAGATGTATTTATAACCTACTGATTATTGAACTGGGCAAAATTACACATGCTTGAGTGTGGAATGAGAAGGTAAAATAGTTATAAATAATTTGCTAATCTTTAATGCATGGATCGGAGTATTTCACATTACCTTAACATTAACTGCTCAAAGGAAATGTTTTTTCAAAACCTACTCTCTTAGTGATGATAGTCTTTTTCTGACCTAGATTTATTGCTTAACCAGACTTTAAAATTGTTTCGGAATTCATAGTATTTCCCTCCTAAGGAGTCAAATTAAGAGCTTATTTTGCCCCTAAATTGATCCCTATTTAAAAGGCAATGTGAAAGAAGTAGGAAAGAGCATGCACTCAAGAGTTAGACTGTCTGGGTTCAAATCCTGACTTTTCTACTCTCTAACTGTGACTTTGGCGCGTTATTTACTTCTGTCTTCCCATCTGTCAACTGGGAACATAATAACCTACCTTATGGGGTTGAGGATTAAATGAGACAATATTTCTTAAGAATTTTGAAGAGTACCTGGAACATGATGAATGCTCAATAAATGTTAGCAAATTGTCCCAAATAACAAATTTGCAAGAAACATTTGGTGTAAATGGGACTGATTAAAATTAAAATTCCCTTTTAAATAGATAATTGAATATGTATTTAAAGCTAGGATGCTTTAGAGTAGCTGCTATTTAAATTATGTGGTATATGATCTTGCTCTGGGCATTATCTGAGCTTTAAAGATTATATGTTTAATTTTTTTTGTTGTTAACAGTGTCAAAAAATATATGTTTAATTTATGGAGGGTTTTTTCTTTTTCTTTTTTTGAGACAAAGTCTCGTTCTGTCAACCTGGCTAGAGTGCAGTGGCATGATCATAGCTCACTGCCACCTAGAGCTCCTGGGTTCAAGCAATCCTTCTGCCTCAGCCTGCTGAGTAGCTGGGACTATAGGTGTGTGCTACCACACCTGGCTAATTTTCTCTATTTTTAGTAGAGATGGGATCTCACTCTTGTTTAGTCTGGTCTCAACTCCTGACCTTGAGCGATCCTCCCACCTTGGCCTCCCAGAGTGCTAGGATTACAGGTGTGAGCTACCTCGCTTGGCCATAATTTATGGAGTTTTGTGCAAGGTATAGAGGGTGCCCTAATTTGACATATTGAAATTTAAAATACAGGTTGAGCATCCCTAATCAGAAAATCCAAAATCAGAAATGCTCCAAAGTCCAAAACTTTCTGAGCGCTGACATGATGCTCAAGGGAAATGCTCATTGGAGCATTTTGGATTTTTGATTTTTGGATAGCGGTACTCAACCAGTCTAATGCAAATATTTCAAAGTCTGAACAAAATCCAAAGTCCAGAAGCATTTCAGATCAATCAAAAGCAGGTCAAAAGCATTTCAAGTCAAAAGCATTTCAGATAAGGGATACTCAACCTGTACTATTTAAATACAATACTATTTAAATAAATAATATAACTTTCATTTGTGAAGAACTTTTTCTTTTTGAGACTCACTCTGTTACCCAGGCTAGAGTGCCATGGCGTCAACCTAGCTTACAGCAATCTCAAACTCCTGAGCTCAAGAGATCCTTCTGCCTCAGCCTCCTGAGTAGCTGGGACTATAGGCATGCACCACCATGCCTGGCTAATTTATTTTTCTATATATTTTTAGTAGGCCAATTAATTTCTTTCTATTTTTAGTAGAGATGGGTCTTGCTCTTGCTCAGGTTGGTTTCGAACTCCTGACCTCGAGTGATCCTCCCGCCTCAGCCTCCCAGAGTGCTAGGATTACAGGCGTGAGCCACTGTGCCCAGCCTGATAATTCCTTTTGATTAAAATTATATTTTAATTTTGGAGCTCTATGAAATATTTCTGTTCAATTGAACCAATAGTTGTTTAACAATTAAAGAGTGCTTAGCATTGTATTAGGAAATTACATAAGAGAAATATAAAGCATGATTTCAATCAAAGTAACCTAGTCTTGATGGGGAGATAAATACATACTGTGGCCAGGTGCGGTGGCCAATGCCTATAATCCTAGCACTCTGGGAGGCTGAGGTGGGCGGATTGCTCGAGGTCAGGAGTTGGAAACCAGCCTGTGCAAGAGCGAGACCCGGTCTCTACTATAAATAGAAAGAAATTAATTGGTCAACTAATATATATAGAAAAAATTAGCCGGGCATGGTGGCCCATGCCTGTAGTCCCAGCTACTTGGGAGGCTGAGGCAGAAGGATTGCTTGAGCCCAGGAGTTTGAGGTTGCTGTGAGCTAGGCAGATGCCATGGCACTCATTCTAGCCTGGGCAACAGAGTGAAATTCTGTCTCAAAAAAAAAAAAGAAAGAAAGAAAGAAAGAAAGAAAAACATACTGAAAAGTAGTACAAGGAAGCATATGAAAAGGGGCCAAAATAAGTGGTTACAGACTGGGTGATCAAAGAGCCGTGTGTGCTGGTATGTTTCTAAAAATTTTATAGACCATTCTTGAGGGATTTTTTGGACTCATCTACATACACACACACTGCTTCCATGAATGAGGCACTGATACGGAAGTGTATAACACAGGTATTTCAGGGGGAAAAGGTTGGAAAAAACCCTACTATTTGAAAGAAGGTCAAATTCAAGCATGATCTGAAAGGAGGTGAAATTAAAAAGGACACTTGAGATAGGAAATAGGTAAAAGCATGAAGACAAGAACATGTTTATGTCCTAGGTTAGAAGAGAATTAGGAGAATAAAGAGTAGCTGAATTTTGAAAGACCTTTTTTTTTTTTTTTTTTGAGACAGAGTCTCGCTTTGTTGTCCAGGCTAGAGTGAGTGCCGTGGCGTCAGCCTAGCTCACAGCAACCTCAAACTCCTGGGCTCGAGTGATCCTTCTGCCTCAGCCTCCCGAGTAGCTGGGACTACAGGCATGTGCCACCATGCCCGGCTAATTTTTTTTTATATATATATCAGTTGGCCAATTCATTTCTTTCTATTTATAGTAGAGACGGGGTCTCGCTCTTGCTCAGGCTGGTTTTGAACTCCTGACCTTGAGCAATCCGCCCGCCTCGGCCTCCCAAGAGCTAGGATTACAGGCGTGAGCCACAGCGCCCGGCCTTGAAAGACCTTTAATAGTCAGCAGAGGAGTTTAGGATTTATCTTGTCATTGTAAAGGTTTTTGCACAGGTAACTAACAATAAAGTATTATTTCTGGAAGAATGGATTGCTCTTAGATGTGGAAAACCATTAGTTGTGGTAATAAAAACATGGCTAAGGAAATAGCCTTGTGAATGGACGACAGAGACTCTTGAAAGAAAAACTCAATAGAATGTGCTTAATGACTACATGTTAAAGAATGAAGGTATTAGCAGAAAACTTGGTTCCTTAAAAAAAAAGAATGAAGGTAGGAGACTACTTAGGTGAATTTAAGTAAGCCTAGAAAATTGCCAGGCATTTGACGATGGACCAGCCAGCTTTTGGAAAGAGGAGGAAAGAAGGAATGGGATTTAATTTTGAACATACTGTGTGTGAGGTTTCTAAGGGTAGGCTGTAGCCAATGATAAATATGAGACTTGGTTTGAAAGTCAAAACTGGGGCAGAGAGAGGCAGGGAAAGAAAGAAAGAGAGAAAGAGAGGTAAGGAGGAAGAAAGGGAGGAAGGGAGGGAAGACAGGAAGAAGGGATGAAGGAATCCTTTATAGTAAGGAGATAAATCAGTGACACTGTGACCAGAGTTAATTTTTTAATGCTTAAAATTTTGGTTTTATTTCTTTTTATGTAGACCATGGATTCTTATGATGCACCACAATCAACTCCTAGACAAAGTGCATCTTCAAGGCCTGAAAATTGCTTTATAGGTGCCACCCCTCTGCAGAAACGACTGGAATCCGTCAGGAAGCAGACTCCATTTGTCCCAACTCCACCTCGAAGGAAAATTCCCCAGTGTTCACAATTGCAGGTATGCTTTCTGTGTTCCTTTGTTTTAGTCAATAATTGAGAATATCTGTGAACAGAATACTTTAATTTTTGTTACTATTTATAGTAATTTTAGTATCTTCTAAAATAACCCTTCAGCTAATATAATAAATGAGAAAGTTGAAAAAATTAAACAAGTTCATAGTATCAGCACCACTTTTATGTCTTCTACTTCCTTTAATCTGGATCATTTCCATAGTACTTCTTTGTCTTTTACAATATTTCATTTTTCAAGAATACAGTACCCTTTTTGTTACCCTTTTTAAAAGAATATTCCTCATTTTGTATTTGTCTTGTGTTTCCTCATGATTAGATTCAAGTTATGTATTCTTGGCTGGAACACTGTATTGTGTAGGTGCTGTTGTGTCCTTGGGGAATCACATCTGGTAGAACACAGGTGATGTTAATTTTGATTATCCTATCAAGGCGTTGCCCAATTTACTTCCTGTACTGTTTTTCCCCCCTGCAACTAGTAAGCAGTCTATGGGGAGACAGCTTTAAGATAAGGCAAATACCCTGTTAATTGTCAAAATTTCACCTTAGACTTGGTATCCATTGATAATTTTTAGCTGATCTCATCTTTATTGTGATAGCTTCAAAATGATGGTTTTCCAACTCTAGCACCCCTTCCATGTTTACCCGCCAGCCTTTGGTATTCTATCGCAAACCTGTCTCCCTTTTTTCCATTTATCTATTTATTTAGTATTGGTATGAATTCTTGTTTTTTAAGGGTTTATATTGTTGCTTAAATTGTCCCAGATTTGTCTGGTGGCAACATACTGTTTTTTTTTTTTTGTTTGTTTGTTTTTGAGACAGAGTCTCACTCTGTTGCCTGGGTTAGAGTGCTGTGGTGTCAGTCTAGCTCACAACAACCTCAAACTACTGGGCTCAAGAGATCCTCCATGCCTCTACAGGCATGCGCCACCATACTTGGCTAATTTTTTCTATATATATTTTTAGTTGTCCAGCTAATTTCTTCCTATTTTTAGTAGAGACAGGGTTTGGCTCTTGCTCAGGCTGGTTTCGAACTCCTGACCTCAAGCAGTCCTCCCGCCTCTGCCTCCCAGAGTGCTAGGATTACAGGCATGAGCCACCGTGCCTGGCCAACATACTGTGTTTTAATCATTCAAAAACAGCCCTGAAACTATATAACATTAGTCATTTTAAATTTTACTGAAACAGGAAATAAAATCCTATTCAATACAAGTTGATGTGTGATTTTGAGTCACTTAGAGGCCTGGCTGATCAGTCACCCTCATATTGTAGCTTTTTTCTCTTGTCAATGTTGTATGACTAGTATCTCTTGGGATATGATACAATTTTTGCTTCCTTGTGACAATTTTGTTACAGAAAAATTACTAGTGCTGATAATGAAAGTGATGGTTCTTAACTGGAAAACAGAAATTTTATATAAATTAAAGACTGGAATGTTCAATTCAGTGCTTCTTCATCTTTATGATAATAATTTTGACATATATTTTGATAGTAATAAGGTACATGTTTATAACTGTTCCAATGAATGCTGTAGCCAGAACAAACATTTTTGTTAAGTAAACAACTGTAGTGAAAGTTCTGAAAGATAGTTGGAGCTGTGAGACTGAGACTATGTCAGGAAGGATGGACTCTACAAAAATTCAATTTGCAGGGAAATTAGAAGCCTATATGGGGGCATATGTGAACACCCTGAGCAATGCCATGGGGCCAATACAAATGAAGTGTTTTTGTTTTTGATGGTACTTGTGTTTCTAATAGAGCATGGAAAAAATATTCCCGAGTATCTTTTTATTTATTTATTTATTTATGTATGTGTTTGTTTGTTTTTGTAATTTTTTGTTTGTTTGTTTGTTTTTGTAATTTTTGAGAAAGGGTCTTGCTCTGTCACCCAGGCTGGAGTACAGTGGCCTGATCATAGTTCACTGTAGCCTTGAACTCCTAGCTATAAGCGATCCTCCTGCCTCAGCCTCCCAAAGTGCTAGGATTACAGGTGTGAGCCATGTTTTTTTGTTTTAGACTAGTCAGGTGCAATAGTGAGAAGGGGGGAAAGAGAGTAGAATGAAGAGTTCCATCTGTAACTGACTGTAAATAATCAATTGAGATAACACACTACCTCTGACCAGCCCCCAAGTAACCTTTTATTTAATCTATTGAATTAGGCATGGTGTTGTAGAGCATATTTACTGTCAAACAACTTTTTAAATTACTTAATTAGAGCTAATCAAATTAAATGCTTCAGAATTAATTACTACTTTTGAAATCTATAATTTGAAGTTTCTAAAAGTGAAACATAAATGTTCATCCATTACATATGTATTGAACACTTGTTCTAGATGGCATAGTTCTAGGTGCTACAGTGAAGTGATAGTTCTCATTAAGCTCATGCTCTAGTACAGAAGACAGACAATAAAAATCAGACAAAATGCTTTGGGAGGCTGAGGTGGGAGGATCACTTGAGGCCAGGATTTTAAGACCAGCCTGGGCAACATAGCAAGAGCCTGTCTCTACAAAAAATTTAAAATATTAGCTGGTGGTGGCAGGTACCTATAGCCCTAGCTTCTTGGAAGGCTGAGGTGGGAGGATCACTTGAGCCCAGGAGTTTGAGGTAATAGGGAGCTATGATTGGGTCACTGCACTCCAGCCTGGGTGATAGAGTGAGACACTGCCTCTAAAGAAAAAAGTCACATAGATACATAATGTTAGGTAGTAATAAGTGCTGTGAAGAAAATAAAGCTAGGGTATGGATATACAGAGTGACAAAGGTGGAGTGGGTGTAGGTGCTACTTTAGATAGAGTGGCCTCGGGTGACATTTGGGCAGAGAACTGAATGAAGTGAAGGAACATGCCATGTGAACACCTTGGGGAAGAGCATTCCAAAGGGAAGGGACAGCAAATGCAAAGGTCTATTCAAGGATCTTCAAAAAGTCCTATAGACTCCAATTTGGCTGGAATGCAAAAATCAGCACCCAGTAATAAATTTGTATTAAATATTTAAAATGCTATGATTAAATTTTTTCTTGCTAATATTTTCTAATTCTTAAACTTCTTTTGTCTCAATTTTTTTTAGGAAGATGTTGATCCTCAAAAGGTTGCATTCCTTCTGCATAAACAGTGGACTTTATATAGTTTAACTCCCCTGTATAAATTCTCCTATACTCATCTCAAAGAGTATTCTAGACTTCTGAGTGCGTTTATTGTTGCTGAAAAGCAAAAAGGACTTGCTGTGGAAGTGGGAGAAGACTTTAACATCAAAGTGATTTTCTCTACTCTCCTAGGAATGAAAGGAACGCAAAAGGACTCTGAAGCATTTCTTGTCCAGGTATGTTATATAATATAAGCAATACTTGCTTCCTAGGAGAAAAGAATCTGCATTGTCTTGGTTTGCAAATTGTTGTGATATTTTCTTACTGTTTTTAAAATTCCTGAGCTTGTGATTTATAATGTATTTTATGTCTTATTTGGTTAAGTTATAATAATTAGATATGTCCAACTTAAAAAAATTTTTTTTCTCTATATATACGAAGTGTGTGTGTATATATATAATCATGATTATTTTTAAAAACTTAGCAATACATGAAAGTACAAAAAGTTAAACATCATAGTTTAACATATTGGTATGTAACTATTTCTTTCTTTCTTTTTTTTTGAGACAGAGTCTCACTATGTTGCCCAGGCTCGAGTGCCGTGGCATCATGTATATAATTTTTACTAGGATTAAATTACTAGAAGTAGAATTTTAGTAAAAAATATATAACATATCATTACATAGTATGATGCTTCATGCCAACTTACTCTCAGAAATATAACATTTTACTATAAATAGTGTATAGAAGTATACACTATAAATACTATAGTATTCCTATAAATAGTGTATAAAAGTAATAGGGCTATCTTTTGACTTATGAAGAAATCAGATTTGTTTATTATTCATGCCTGCTGCTTTTGTTTCTTCTGACTTAACTAATCTTAATCATTGATAAGGAAATTAAATTTTCAAGCAGTTGAAAAGACCTGATATTTTGTTTGTATAGACCAGGGATCAATAAACTAGAACCTGTATGTCAAATCTGACTTACTCCTTGTTTTTATAAATATGATTTTATTGGAATATAGCTATTTTAATTTGCTTATGTATTATCTGTGGCTGCTTTTAGCTACAACAGCAGAGTTGAGTAGTTACAACAATGACCATATTGCCTGTAAAGCCTGAAATGTTTATTATCTGTCCCTTTACAGAAGTTTGCTGATGCTGATAAAGGTCATGGTATTAGCAAAGATCTCAAGAGTTTCTAGGATTAAGTTCAGCCTAAATAAAAATGGGTTAAATAAAATAGAGGTTTGTTTTATTTTAAAAAGTATATAGAAGTAAGCTGTCTAAGGCTAGTATGATGCTTGATAAAACCATTAATAATCTAGGCTTCTTTTGTCTTTTCTGTCATCCTTAGTGCATGGTTTCCATGCTAAAAGTCACCTTATAGTCTAAGATGTCTTCTGGAACTCTAAACATTATATTCAAGTTCTAGGCAGGAAGTAGGAAGAAGATGGGAAGGACAAACAGGAAACCTAACACAGTAAATCTTGCTGAGACCCAATAACTTCTGTTTATATCCTAGTTGGAAAGAGGCTAGGCGGGGCACGGTGGCTCACACCTGTAATCGTAGCACTCTGAGAGGCTGAGGCAGGTGGATCGCTCAAAGTCAGGAGTTCGAAACCAGCCTGAGGAAGAGCGAGACGCCGTCTCTACTATAAACAGAAAGAAATGAATTGGCCAACTAATATATATAGAAAAAAATTAGCCGGGCATGGTGGTGCATGCCTGTAGTCCCAGCTACTCAGGAGGCTGAGGCAGCAGGATTGCTTGAGCCCAGGAGTTTGAGGTTGGTGTGAGCTAGGCTGATGCCACGGCACTCACTCTAGCCTGGGCAAAAAAAAAAAAAAAAAAAAAGAAAGAAAGAAAGGAGGCTAGAAAAAAATTATTTTAGTGGGTACTTTGACACCTCAAGTAAAGGGACTGTTTTATTGTGGAAGGAAAAAGGGATGCTGGATAGACACGTAGCAGTCTTTGTCAAATGAAACAGCTGATACTCAGAGAAATTTTATGACTTGCATGTTATCAGTCAAGTAAATGTTCTTGTTGAGGATGAAAGGTCATTTCTCTTGAAATGACCTTTTGAATTCCTGGTATAGTGTTTTAATAGGTTTCAAGTGAAATCTCATATCTTGACAGGGTTACAGTACTCTTAGGTTAAGAAAGTGTGATAATATAATAGATCTATTTAGGGTATTTGGTAGGCTTTCATAATTTCTTGAAGAAAGAGGAGAAATATGGTAAAAATAACTGTTCAAATGATCACCTCTAAAGGGATATGATACGGGGCTGTGATCTTATCCTTGGCCTGGTCAGTGCTTTAACAAAAATCTCTATGAATATCTGGAAGGTATGTTTGTCATATAATTTATAAATTTAAAGTTTGAGTGGTTAGGCAATCAACTAGAAATATAATCAAGATCTTAAATGATCTGAATGGATTGCACAATGGGCCAAATTGAAAGAGATTAAAATTTTAGTAGGAATAAATTTACTGCATTAATGTAACAGCAAAAATGAATATGTAAGGCTAATTTATATAAAGCTATCAACTGAAAATCAGAAAACTGCAATCTGAGATTATATTAATAGAAGTATAATCTAGGGTAAAAATAGTGATAGTCTTGTAATCAGACATTTTGAAGTAATTAAGTTCATTTATGAATGACTCCTATGCAGAAGAATTTCAGAGAAGAGCGACCAGTATAGTGAGGGAATGTGAATATAGGTCATAGGAGGAATGACATTGAAGAAACTGAAGATGTTGAACTTGGTAATATTAATATATATGATAGGGACCATCAAATATTTGAAGGGCTTTTCCTGTAGAAAAGAGATTTGATTTGTTCTACCTGCTCAAAAGGAAGAAAGCAGGTCCAGTGGGTGGAAACTATAGGGCCTAATATATGAAAGAACATTTAAAATTAATAGAAAGAGCTCCCTTAGGAAATATAGAAATCTTCCTCAATGGAAGAATTCAAGCATGTTGGATTTGGTGACCTTTTACAGTCAATTCTTAAGTTGAGATTTTTTTTTAGATTACTACACCTACCTGGTCATGTCATATCAGTGGTATCTTTTGTTTTGTATTTTGGATATCTTATTTTGTATTTTGGTTGTGTCAAGATCTTGCCATATACCACGTCTCCACTGTGTAAGAATATTGGAATAAAGGACAATTATTTTGATAAACACTGATAATGATTAGGGAGGCTATTCCCTCTGTGTTTTTTGGCAAGTAAATCAGACTGTCTCATTTTTAATGTGCTAATTAATTTTGAGATGATGTAATTTAGGAGTAAATGTACTTTTGAACTTAAACTATTGTACTTTCCTTTGTAGATTCTGTCAAAATCTCAATTGCCATCTGAGAACAGAGAAGGTAAAGTGTTATGGACTGGTTGGTTCTGCTGTATATTTGGAGACAGTCTTCTGGAGACTGTTTCAGAAGATTTCACCTGTCTACCCTTATTCCTTGCAAATGGAGCAGAGTCTAATACAGCCATAATTGGAACTTGGTTTGAGAAGACCTTTGACTGTAATTTTAGTCCTTTAGCAATCAATGCGTTTAATCTTTCCTGGATGGCTGCTATGTGGACTGCATGTAAAATGGACCGTTATATGGCTGCTACTGAATTTCTTTGGTCTGTTCCCTGTAGCCCTCAAAGTCTGGACATTTCTTATGCAATACATCCAGAAGATGCCAAAGCTTTGTGGGATAGTGTCCACAAAACACCTGGGGAGGTTACCCAGGAGGAAGTTGACTTATTCATGGATTGCCTTTATTCACATTTTCATAGGCATTTCAAAATTCATTTATCAGCCACAAGATTGGTTCGTGTTTCAACATCTGTAGCTTCAGCACATACTGATGGAAGAATAAAGGTTAGTTTGAACAAAACTAGTTAAGTAATTTTTCCTTATCATTGCAGGATTTTCAAAATATATGATGATTATACTGTCTACATTGAAGAAACACATTTCAATGTATGCCAGTTAAGACAGTAGAGAGACTTTATTTTATGCTTTATAAATGATTTACCAAAGTTTTTAAGCTTTCTAGGTGTAGCCTGTTAATGGAAGGACGCTATATGCTGTGTGCCACAGACTTTGGTAGTAATATGGATATTATTCTGTAGAAACTTTGAAACTTTCGAAATTGTTTCTTGTCAAATTTTTAAATAATTATTAGAGTAACAGAGAATTTTCTATGTTAGATAAAAAGTTATATTTGGAAACACAGAACAAAGATGTCATCTTTATATTCTAGAGTTTTGTATCCCTATTGGTAAAAAAATAATAGAGATATTGTTTTATTCTTTACAAAGTGTTTATCACAAGAAGTATCAGAAATAAACTGAGGGCCGGGCGCGGTGGCTCACGCCTGTAATCCTAGCTCTCTGGGAGGCCGAGGCGGGCGGATTGCTCAAGGTCAGGAGTTCGAAACCAGAAATAAACTGAGAGTTGGCTCCTAAAATATTATTAAAATACACAGCTACAATATACACTCAGTGAGTGTTTCCTATGGTCTTTTCACTGTACTAAGAGTTTAAGAAATCTTAATTCTAATCTTTAGAGCAAGTCTATAGTTAGGTGTTTTTATCCACATTTTATTTTAAAATAAGGAACTGAGGCAAAGGTAGGTTTAAGTGACAAGCAAGATAGCTTGTAAAATGAGTAGTCAAGATTTGAACTCTCATCTCTTAAGTTCCAATAAGTCCATACTTATCTGTAAGCAGTGTGCTCATGCTTTTCAAACTGGGAGTCACAATGCAATAGTAGGTTGGGAAATAATTTTGGTGGGAAGAGACCAGCATTAAAAGACAAAAAAGGAAAGAAATAGAATAGAAAATACAAAAATGCTAATGTATTGCATGGGGTAAGCATAATGAATGAAATCAATAAACTAGGCCAATGTAACATTGATCACTTAAATAGCAAACTGTTTTGTTATCATAATTAATACTATTCTAATTTTGAATGTATTTGTTTTTTCAGATTCTGTGTCATAAATATCTTATTGGGGTGTTAGCATATTTGACAGAACTGGCGATTTTTCAAATTGAGTGATGCCTTCTGTGGACTGTAAGTTATGGATTATATACCCTTTTTTCATTGATTATTTGCCTGATTGCTATGCTGAAAGAGACTGCAGGAGAAATGGGCATCTGTCTCTGCATCTGTTTTTCCCACTTTGCCTTTGGAGTTGCCAAGATGGAAACCAAGAAGGCTCTAGAAGAACAAAGAATGCAGTATTAGAGGAACCACAGCCAAGTGCTCATATACTAGTCATGATGATCTGGCATGCCACTCTTTAGAAAATGCTGAGTTGTTAATTTGTTGGTCATCTTTTAAAAAATATATATAATGTTTATTAAGTCAAACTTTTAGGATTCAAGTCAGGTGTATCTAATATAGAGTATTTCTTATTTGGGTCTTTAAAACCATTAATCCCTTTTTATAGCATTTTAGACTTGCATTAAGAAAGAATTCTGATTTCTAAAGACATTTTCCTAGCTTTACTTTGCTGTAAAGAACTGGCAGTCAAAAATCCTCTCAAAAGATTAATAATATAGATTTTATAGCCACTAAAATGCTTCTATTTTTAATACTTTCCAATTCCTGTTGCAATATTGAATTAAATGTTCACTTTTCAAATGAAACAGTGTGTTTATCAGTGTCTTGATGACATCTTTTAATTAGTATCTCTGTAGTGACAAGTGGTAAGCTTTTTCGCTACCATAAAGGGTAAAAACCAACAATTATATAGAATCATACAAATTGTAGAGTTGAAAGGTACTTGTGAGCCCCTTTTAAGGCCAGAAATTATCTTTTTAACTTTCATAGTTAGCACAGTGCTAACTATGCACAGCACTAAAGCAGATTAGCATAGTGCTTTGTAGATATCTGTACATTAAGTGAATTTTAACTAATTCTTCCATTTTACAAATAAAAAGTGTGAGATCAAGCAACTTAAGAGACTTGCCCATGATGTTATATCTAAATCTCCTCTTTTTACTTACTGAGCAAAAGATTATTTTTACTTTAGAAACAATGTTTTTAAAAATCTTGTTTGAAAGAAAATAACTTTAATAGGCTATCATTCTCAAAAATTCTGGTATGGAATATTATTTCAGATATAGTAGTAGGAACAGCAGAGATAATAGAAAAGCATGAGCTTTGGAGTCAGATATTCATTCATTCAATTGATATTTAGCTCTTACTATGTAGTTAGAATTGTATTGAGTAATAGGGATATAGCAATGAAGAAGACAAAAAAGGTCCCTGTCCTATGGAAATTATATTCAAGTGAAGGAGGCTAAAAAATAAATAATTTCAGATGGAGACAGGTGCTATGAAGAAAGTAAGGGAGTGCAATATGAAAAAGAGTGACTGGAGTGGGGATTACTTTACATACAGTAGTCAAAGAAGGTCTCTGAGGAAATGACACTGGAGCTGAGTCCTGAACGATGAACAGGAGCCAGCCATGTGAAGATCTGAGGAAGGGTATGCTAGGCAAATAAAACAACAAGAGCAAAGGCCTTGAGATAGGTAAGAGCTTGGCTTATATGAGAAATAAAGGAAGACTGTGGCTGGAGCATAGTGTACAAGGGCATATGGACTAGTATGAGATGAAACTGAAGAGGTTGTGAAGCAGAGACTTATTTTATGGTATATCTCCCAATTTGGGGCTGGGACACCTGACTGCTCAGAAATAAAGATATTTTCCAGCCTTTCTTATAGGTACATATAGTCATATGAATAAGTTCTGACCCAGGGGATATGGATGGAAGTGTCATATAGAGAGCTTCCAGGAATCTTCCCTAAGAAACAGCTGACATGTACTCCTTCCCCTGTCCTTATTCATCCCTTCTTCCAACTTTGCTGCCTGGAACCTTGCTATGATAACTGGTACTCTAGCTATTACCTTAGGTTATGGGGATGAGGGTCAGGTTCTAGGGATGGCAGAGCATGGCCTGGGAAGAGCTTATGCCCTACTGATTTCTTGAAGCTGAGCCACAATGCCAGTCTTTGACAGTCTTCCTCCAGACTTATTTGTCAGAGAAGTAAACTTTTGTCTTGTTTAAATTACTATTGTTTTGGGTCTCTCTTGCTCATAGCTAAATCTAATCCTAACTTGATACAGAGGCAGGATCCACATGATCTAAGGTTTTATAAGTACTATGATGAGATTACATTTTATTCTAAACACAAGGGGAAGCCACTGAAGGATTTTAAGCTGGACAGTAATATGACTCAATTTGTATTTTATAAACTTTTATAAGATATGCGAGAGAATAAGTTATAGGTGAACAAGAGTGGAAACATGTAGAAATTTATTACAAATCATACAATCCATACGGAGAAGAAGTTAGCGATATGATGCTGGCGTGGTGGCATACGCCTGTATAGTCCCAGCAACTTGGAAGATGAGGTGGGAGGATGGCTTAAGCCCAGAAATTCAAGACTACAGTGAGCCCTACTGCACTCCTGCCTGGGCTATGGAGTGAGACCCTGTCTCTAAACAAAACAAAACAAAAATTAGCAATATTGAACAAAATTATGTGTGCATTTACCTTTGATCAGCAATTTCACTTCTAGGATTCTATCCTAAAAATCACTGGCAAAAAATACAAAATGAAACATTTATAATGGTATTTATTAAAACAGTATTTGTAATAGCAAGACTAAAAACAATTCAAATTCCCATCAGAGGGTGCCTGGTTGAATAAACTATGATATAGCTTCAAAATGAAGAATTAATACTATGCAAATATAAAAGGGACCGAGGAGGATACTTATATACTCCTATAGAATGATCACCAGGATATACTGTTATGTGAAAGAGCAATATATGGGGACAGAGTATACAGTATGCTACTTTGGAATGAGGGAAATACAAGTATAAGTGTATATTTCCTTATGCTTTCAAAGAACAATGGAAAGATAAGCCAAAAACTAATACATGTGTTTACTTATAGGGAGAAGGAAGGAACTGGGTAGAGGGAAGAGGAATGGAAGTTAAGATTTACCTGAATATTCATTGTTTATAGTTTGGAACTATGTAAGAGTTTCTTATAATTATGAAACAAAATTAGATCAAAAAGGAAAAAAACAAAACAATCCTTAAAAATTGAAAACAAGCCTAACTATATTGAATTCATGAGATAATGACACAAATAATTTTTTTAATATTTTTATTTTATTTTTATTTTTAGAGATGAGGTCTTGTCACGTTGCCCAGGCTGGTTGTAATATCTTTAAATCATAGGCCAGGCGTGGTGGCTCGTGCCTGTAATCGTAGCACTCTGGGAGGCCGAGGCGGGCAGATGGCTCAAGGTCAGGAGTTCAAAACCAGCCTGAGCAAGAGCGAGACCCTGTCTCTACTAAAAATAAAAAGAAATTAATCGGCTAGCTAAAAATATATATACCAAAAATTAGCCAGGCATAGTGGCACATGCTAATAGTCTCAGCTACTTGGGAGACTGAGGTAGAAGGATTGCTTGAGCCCAGGAGTTTGAGGTTGCCGTGAGCTAGGCTGATGCCATGGCACTCTAGCCCAGGCAACAAAGTGAGACTGTCAAAAAAAAAAACAATACCAATTTTCTGAGACAAGAAAAACAGAGTTGTGTGAAAAGGTCCCACCACGAAGAGGGGACCTGACTTGCCGAAGATAAGACAATGCAAATATCAAAAGAAAAAACTGCAATTAATGAATGGAACATATAAACCCTTATGAGCTCATTAATACTAAACAGAATTTTAGAAATTCAAAGGTTGCCTTTGGAGATTGCTGCAGAATTAATTACTGAAAATTGATAAACTAAAAAGAAGAAGCAAACATTTCTTCCTGTCATTCTAGTATATATTATATTTCTTTTTTTTTTTTTTTGAGACAGAGTCTCGCTTTGTTGCCCAGGCTAGAGTGAGTGCCATGGCGTCAGCCTAGCTCACAGCAACCTCAAACTCCTGGGCTCAAGTGATCCTCCTGCCTCAGCCTCCCAAGTAGCTGGGACTACAGGCATGCGCCACCATGCCCGGCTAATTTTTTCTATATGTATTAGTTGGCCACTTAATTTCTTTCTATCTTATAGTAGAGACAGGGTCTGGCTCTTGCTCAGGCTGGTTTCAAACTCCTGACCTCAAGCAATCTGCCCGCCTCGGCTTCCCAGAGTGCTAGGATTACAGGTGTGAGCCACTGCACCCGGCCTCTTTTCTTTTCTTTTTTGAGACAGTCTTGCCTAGACTAGAGTGCAGTGGCATCATCATAGCTCAATGCAACCTCCACATCCTGGGCTCAAGAGATCTTCCTGCCTCAGCCTCCCAAGTAGCTGGGACTATAGGTGCACATCACCATGTCTGGCTAATTTTTCTTTTTTCTTTTTTTTGTGGAGATGAGGTCTTGCTGTTGCTCAGGCTGGTCTTTAACTCCTAACCTTGAGTGATCCTCCCATCTTGGCATCCCAAAGTGCTAGGATTACATCTGGCCAAAAGGCAACATTAACTCTCAATGAAATAATGGATCTAAAGGTCAATCACTAATATCTGCTGAAACAAGTAGGTGAAAGACTGATGGAGTACTTTCTAATGGATGTAGTTGCTAATACCTGGACCCACTGCCCACTCTTAGTATCTTTCATACTAAGAAATATTTATTACATATGTTCCGATTGATGCAGTGAAACAACTATGAAGTATTTCTTAAAAATCTTTTAATGTGAATATCTTAACAGAAAAATATAAATTTCACTATGTTATAGTGGGGATACACACAATAGACACTATAGAAGAATTTCTGAAAATCATAGGGCAAAGGAACAAAAAATAAATTTGACCATGTGAGCAAAAGGAAGGACAGGAAAAAAGAAGAAAACTCCAAAGTATAATAGTAAGCATCAAATAAAATGGTAATTAGGGAAATTTTAATATTGACTTGGTATTAGATGATATTAGGGAATTGTTAATTTTTTTTTTTTTTTTTTTTGAGACAGAGTCTCACTTTGTTGTCCAGGCTAGAGTGAGTGCCGTGGCGTCAGCCTAGCTCACAGCAACCTCAAACTCCTGGACTCGAGTGATCCTTCTGCTTCAGCCTCCCGAGTAGCTGGGACTACAGGCATGTGCCACTATGCCCGGCTAATTTTTTTATATATATATATCAGTTGGCCAATTAATTTCTTTCTGTTTATAGTAGAGACGGGGTCTCGCTCTTGCTCAGGCTGGTTTTGAACTCCTGACCTTGAGCAATCCGCCCGCCTCGGCCTCCCAAGAGCTAGGATTACAGGCGTGGGGAATTGTTAATTTTATCAAGTATTATAATATTATAGTTAGGCCTTGACAAATATTTTGTTTGTTTGTTTGTTTGAGACAGAGTCTCGCTTAATTGCCCAGGCTAGAGTGAGTGCCATGGCGTCAGCCTTGTTCACAGCAACCTCAAACTCCTGGGCTCAAGCAATCCTCCTGCCTCAGCCTCCCCAGTAGCTGGGACTACAGGCATGCGCCACCATGCCCGGCTAATTTTTTTCTATATATATCAGATGGCCAATTAATTTCTTTCTATTTATAGTAGAGACGGGGTCTCACTCTTTCTCAGGGTGGTTTCGAACTCCTGACCTCAAGCGATCCGCCCACCTCGGCCTCCCAAAGTGCTGGGATTACAGGCGTG